GTAAGACGTCTGCTTCACACGCGGTAGAACCGGGTTCGATCCCCCAAGAAAACTTTTTTTTTTTTTTTTTTTTGATGTTTACATATCTTCTTTTTTACAATTATCACTGAAGAAACAAACAAAAAAGTAACAAACACATGTTGTGGACGACACTTCGCTGAATTAAATGGTATGGGATTTCCTTGTTGACACCTGCGAACTCAATGTAATCACTTTCCACAAAATGCAAGGAGCATATAAATCAGGTAACGTCCGCTTTCCGAGGTGTCCGTATATGTTCTACAGGAATTGCAGCCAGCCATTGGTCCCGATCCCGTTGATCTTTCGGAAACTCGCACAATGCCCCTTTTTTTTCGGACGCAGGACATGTGAGCCAGCTCTTCACGCAACATCTTGGGTGTATTCTTTTCGGAGCCGATCATGGAAATTCACCACGGGCACTCACTACTCATCTCCAGCTTCTCAATGTACAAAACAACTCATCTTGGAGTACAGAACAACGAGCGGAACAAACATAACTCACGGCGAACAGTTCCCGCACGCCGCATCGCACGCCGCATGTCCTGTCGTCTGCTACCGGAGAGGAGAAAGAAAAAAAAAAAAAAAAAAAAAAAAACGCACGGTCGGGTGTAGCCACGTGACTTCCGCCACTCCACTCTCTTCTCTCCACTTCTCCGACCTCCGTCGGGTTTCGGTTTCGGTTTCGAGCAGTTGCGTCTTTTGGCTTTATTAAAAAAATACGCTACGCTGTTGCAAAATATTAATTGGGTAGTCCTCCGACACCATAATGAAGCGCCTGGCAAAATATGAAAAAAAAATTTTGGGGGGTGTCAGTGTCCCTTTAATTCCCATTGGCTGCGACGCATTATGGGGCTCCATAGCAACGGTGTCATCGTTGCTATAGGGCCAGCCGAACTGCTGGCGCCGTAGCGGGAAGGGGGGGGGGGGGGGGGGGGGGCAATTTAATGGCGGCGTTAGAGATGGCAGATTATACCCTTTTTCCTGCTTATAAAATACTTCTCCTATTGAAACAAAAATGCTGTTTAAAGTAAAGTGTTATTTTATTCTTCGCGTAAAATATTCAAGCATCTCCAGGGCTGTTTATTGTTGGAGTTACGTTGAAAAGCCACCCGTAGCCCCATAGCATCACAGTAATTTTTTTTTTTTTTCAAATTTAATGGCGTTTATAAACACATAACCCAGGCGAGCAGTTGAACACACTTTTACTTTCTTACTTAAGTCTCTCTAATCAAGAGCTGTGGTTGTGGCGTCATCTCCCGAGAGGTGGGGCAAACAGACAACGGTGTCGTCGGCTTTCGCTTGAGTACTTGGTGCGTTTAGCAGGAGATGGCGCCACAAGCACAACTCTCAACACTAGGTTTTGTTTGCTTGTTTTTTGTGTTTTTTTTTTTTACGCGGAGCGGTATGGAGTGGAGCCGGCGGCGTCTGTAACCGAGAGAAACGGCACCTTAAAACCCGAAACCACGAAAAACGGCACATATATTGACTACGAAGCTTCATATCAGATGCTCTGTCACGGAAACCGATGCGGCCGCTCGAGTTCAAAGCGGACGCGCCTCGGAAATAAAACACAAAGAAAAGCACAGCAACGCAGATGCCTCATCACGGAGACAGGCGGGTGCGCTCAAGGCTAATGCGGACGCGCTTCAGAAATAAAACACAAAGAAAAGCAAAGCAACGCAATGCTTCGTCACGGAAGCCGTTATAAAGCTGGCAGGGTGCGCCGCGCCTGCGCAGTGGAGGAGCGTGATGTCACCGCCGCAGCGCCGTCGCTGCTTGTAGGAATGCTTTCGCAATCCTACACGTAAGCGATCTTAAGTGTCTCTGCCGATTTCTTTTTTTCATCGGTGTCTGCCATTTAAGATGTCAAGGACACTGACACTGACAATTACCAGATTGCCCATATTTCAAAACATACAAAAATTTCCTTTTAACGTTCATTGGCCATCACGCTGCGTTTGAAGTGCTGGCAGTATGTGGACATGTGTAGCATCTGTAAGAAGTACTCATGAAGAGATCGTTATGAATACTAAGAAACAATGCTATTTTCCAGGATTTATAAAAAAAATAAAAATTTAAAAAAGAAATGCATAAAGAACACTGCATACTTAGGCTGTTTCAGCGACTTGTGATTAGGTATATAGGTTACCTATGCCAGAAATGCAAAACAATGCATGAAGAACAAACTTGAAGTACAATACTAAATCAGACAAGCAACAAACAAGATAAGTGTTTTAGCACTTATCCTGTTTAGTTCCCCCTTCTCTGAATTCTTAGCACGCTGTTTTGTCATTTTGGTTATGAACCTACTCACCCACACTACCAACCCCGATTCATCTATGCGCTGCAAAAGCAAGAGACTTCACACTAATGTTCAGCAAGTATTTCCCGTAAATAAAAAGAAATAGTAAGATTTCGTCGTTGTTCTTCTCGGCTGGCGGCTTCATAGTTTGGTGGACAATGGAGGCTTTTGGGGGTTCTGAGTTCAAGACATTTATTTACATTACAAACTTTGTACAATTTTATGTACAAGTAGGGGAAGTTAGCATCTCCGTCGAACTAGTTTACGGTCATTCAAGGAAAGCAAAAATCGCCCCTTCCCGCCCCGTCACAAGCTTTTGAAACCTCGGTCCTTCTCACCCTCGGGAAGGGATCGGCCAATAGGTTTGAAACCCCTCGGAGTCACGTGCTGCCCCCCGTCCAATGGCCGACAGGGCGCATACAGGCACATTCGTCAAGTTCCCAACGGACCCCTCCAGTGCGCATACACTATTGGCCCTCCCCTCCCCTCACCCCAGCCTCACTCACAATGCTTCCAACCTCTCCTCCTCCTCCTCCTCCCCCTCCTCCTCCTTTCCCCCCCCCCCTTCCCAACGGACCCGAGGTGACAGCCCCGTAACTCCGACAGTGGTCGAAGGCTCAAAAAAGGGTATAATATTGTTTTTTCCATTTTTAATATTGAGTGTGTGCCTTCGATGACCCATGGCTATGATTATGTTTCGTTGTTGTGTCTAAACCACATGACCACGCGGAGAAGAGAGTGAATGCGACCCAAACCGGCCAGTTCTCGATCGGCGGTTTTCGGGTGGAAAGAGATCGAATTTCAAGCCGCGAATTGTGTTCTGTATAGTTGGGCTTTCATGTGTCATGTACAAATAAAAACCTTGGCGAGCATAAATGCCGTCAGTGTCCCTTTAAATTCTGTAAGAACGCCCACTTAAAATGAAGAGAAATTGTGAAAACCATAGGGTGGGCGACCCCCCATTTCGGGCAGAAAGCAAAATTTTATCAAAATTTAGTGATAAAGACCGGGACACCCGCTAAAATTCACGTGACACGGGAAATGATACCGCACATCGCGGACGCAGCAGACTCGCGTTTACGGTGGAATAAACACGCGGGAACCCGCTGCTAACTCGCGTGTCACGGGAACCGATATCGCGCCCGCAGATCGAAGACAAAAACGCGGGAACCCGCTATGTACTTACATTTGACGCGAACGAATGCCGCAGATCGCAGACACAGCAGATTTGCGTATTACGGCGCTAACTAACACGAGGGAAGCCGCTACTATTTTGCGTGTCACGAGAACCGAAATCGCGCAAGCAGATATCGGACAAAAACGTGGGAACTCGCCATGAACTCGCGCGTAACGGAAACGGATACCGAGGTCACATACACAGAAGATTCACATTTCATGATACATAAACACACGGCAACAACTCGCGAGTCTCGGAAATCGATATCGCGCGCGCAGATCGCGCACTAAAACGCGGGAACCCGCTCTGAACTCGCATTTGACGGAAACAAATACCGCAGGTCACGGGCGCGGCAGATTCGCATCCCACGGTACAATAAACACGCAGAAAAACTCGCGTGTCGGGGGAACAAGTCGTGTGTCACGGGAACTGATATCGCGCGCGCAGATCGCGCACAAAAGCGCGGGAATCCGCTGTGAACTCGCATGTGACGGGAACGGACACCGCACGTCGCGGACGCAGCACATTCGCATTTCAGTATACAATGAACACACGGAAACAAGTCGCGTGTCACGGGAACAACTCGCGTGTCACAGGAACCGATTTCGCGCACCCAAATCGCAAAAAAAAAAAAAAAAAGAAACCGGGAACCCGCTACAAAATTGGGCAAAATTTCTGAGCCCATCGAACCAACCGAGATGATCCACCACATAAGCTGTTTCTCCTATCACGCCGGTGCCAAGCAGCGAAGCTTGACGCCCGCGCACCGGTGCGAAACAGTGACTCGTGATGCGAGAACGCTAATGCGATGCAGTGGAGCTTGACGGGGAGAAAAGGGAACCCTAAGACATTAGTAATTAATACTTAATATTGCCGCAGTTAACAAATGCTTTGATTGTTCGCGCATAACAGCGTGTCTCGGTAATTTCGGTTCTGCACGTGGCTTGTGCCTGGCGCTGACTCGTTCCCTGCTCAATTTTGAAGAACTGCTCTGCTCCTCATTAAACCCTTCTTACGTTCTATCGCCGTCAACGTCTCCTTCGCCAACGTGACAACAATAAAAAAGTTTGCATAGGTACTTCAAACAGTAAAAGCGTGCCGCGAATCGAATCGAACAGCGAAATCGCGAATTATTCAAGGTTTCTAACATTTGCACGCTCCTAGTGCTAACATAACAAGTAAAATTGGGGATGCCGCAAGCTTTTGAAGGAAAATGCAAGAATGTGCCGATGTCGTGATGGCACCACCAATGTCCTGCAGTCTACACAACTGTTGCAGATGGTTCGATGAGTACATGTGTCCTTATTCCAAGAGTGCTTTCTGGAGGAACAAAGTCGCAAGTCAGATCCTTTGTAGGACCACCCACTCATCCCTTTAGTGAACACCAACAGCATAGTTCCTGTGGAGAGGCTCAGACCTCCTGGAACTGAACGACAAATATTCCGTTTATAAGTCCTTTGTGATAAACAGTCAAACGGACAAGAGCCAGCACGGACGTACCTTACAATGCCGCTCAAAGCCCTGGAAGATGCGCCAGCCCCAGTCCCGATACGTCTCGTTGCGCGTGAAATAGTACAGGTACCACAAGCTCTCCAGAGTCTCCGGCCGGAGCAGGTTGTGTGCATCGTTGCCCTGCAAAGCAAACCAGGCACCTTCAAATTATTGCCTACAAGCAACATTAAAGCTATGGGTGGGAAAGTGGAGCTGGTCACTCTCTGCCAGGGTGTCGAACCGGAACCGAACCGAACCGAAAACCGGAACAGAACCGTTATTTTTAGCCGAACCGAAACTGAACCGAACCGAAATCTTTGCCGCCATCTTGGAACTGAACCGGAACCGAACCGAAAAAAAATATAACGGTAACCGGTTCAAGACGGTTCAAGGTAATATTTTATTTTTGTTAGTGTCGCAAAATGAACATATTGGAATAAAAATTGGCGGCTGTATTTCTATCTAGGATCAAATCGTCATATATACAGAATTGAAAAGTATGGTAAGTTGTGGGTTTTCATGGCACTATGATTAACCATGTGTCACGTTGTCACGTGACGTCATGGTGTCAATACATGTTGTCAAGTAATGCCACGTGACCTCATGACGTCACGTAACTCACTGCGTCAACTCGATTTAATTTGAGGAAGTCATTAGATGTATTAACATTGTTCACAGCATGACGTAACATGACATCACGATTTCCCACCGAGAGTCACGTGACACCGTGATGTTAGCAATTTTCATAACCCCTAGTCGAGTGCTCAGGTTTATGACAATCAGCACCGCCAAACATTCGGGTAATGGCTCATGCCAATTACATATGATAATAGCCCAACTCTAACAATATCTGAAGCTCAGCCCAAGCTTTTGCTTTCCAAACCCTAGCCGCCTAGAGCATGGCTGTGATGAACACTGGCGGTATCAGATCATGTGGCCGCTTGTTTAAATTGCGAGCTGAGGAGATATCAACCGCCGTCTCTTTCCTTTATTTTTTCTGCATCTGGTATTAGGGGAAAACTAAGGGATGTTTCCGCAAGCTGTCAACGCTAGGGGTTATTTCTTAACACTATTTATTGAAAGTACTAGAAAAAATGTTGCAAGACCCATTTTACATTTTGAGACACCCAAATATTTTTTCGTTGTTTCTGAACTGCATCCGAAAGATGTCCCTGAGAATAGAAGTACTGAAATTACTAAATGCGACTCATTAATATAACGTTACACAAAACTACACGTGTGTACGGAAGGAATACTAAAAAAATATTTTAGTGACCTCAGAGAGACAGCCGAACGTTAGCAGTCGCTGTAAGTCTCACACGAGTGTCGTTCTGAAGTTATTGCCCAAGTTTCGACTCCCTCTACTTTGCTTAAAGAAGCTATAAAAATATTTCTATATATCACTAAATACTACTCAGGATCACTCCCTAACGTTAATAACTGCTTGAACTTGGCTTTGCTATTTTTTCTAGGCAATGGCAGTTACTGAAAAATTCGAGAAATATGGGCATCGTTCAGCCCCTCAGCTCCGAGCCGGAAGCGGCCATGTGGCCTGGTGCCTATCTTATGCCGCCAACGTTAATCGTACCCCGCGATGAGGTTTTAAAGGAAGAAAAAGCGTGCTCAGCTTCAGGCATTGTTAGAGTTCGGCTATTCTCATCACCGCAGTTGTTGGACATGAGCCACTACCCAAGTGTCTGCCAAGACATTGATTGTTACGAGCCGATGTACGGTGCTCACGCAGTCCTCCTGTCCAATCCATGAGCCGCGCTCGACTGTCGTCAGGCAGGTGGTTTTGATCCTACAATTGCGACATCAATCTTTGGGAAGGCATGACTAAAAGAAATAGTCTCATTTAATCCTCGCAATTTCACCGCGACAAAGAAGCTTCTGAATTAGTGGCGGCCTGCGCGAGTATACTTGGGCCAGAGTACCAGTACGCCTCTGAAAAGTCATGAGCATTCCAACCTGATGTCGTTTTATGATCCATCTAAACTTCACGGGGTGCAAAATAAAAGCAATGAAGGGTTGCGGTTAACAAGTGTCAAATAAAATTGGCAAATGAACACACACCAACGGAGGAGGCAATTCCTCAGGAATACTTTCAGTCTTTCCACTCTGGTAAAGCTGTACTATGGTGGGAATGAAGGAATGGCCTGCCGCAAGTCGGCAAGCCAGAGTGGAAAGGCTGGAGAGGTTACCGCCATCTATGCGTGACGGCGGCAACCAGACAACCGGCAAGCCGGTTGCCTGGTTGCTGTTGTCATTTATAGATGGCGGTAGCTGTCCAGAGTATAGTGTCATCATTTGTTTGCTGACGGACACGACACTGGGGAAACTAGCCCTTAACAGCTCCGCTGTATAAACAAGTGCGTGTGTGTGTGTGTGTGTGTGGGGGGGGGGGGAAGGGAGTTTTAAAAACATACTGTGTTATAAAGGTTCCTCTTCCCTGCATCTTTGGCGCAGACCAAAAGCGTGACTCCGGAAACTACTTTGCTTGCAAAAACGTTCTTACCAAAAAGCATGTTTTGTCGTGCCAGACGCTCGCACCGTTCCTAGTGAAAAACGTCTGACTCGCAACTAAAGGGTCGTGGGTTCAAATCCTGCCTAAAATTCTTATTTTTTTTTCTTTAAGGCAAAACAATTACTTTCAAAAGTGAAATCATTTGAGACATAGGCGACCTTTAATTCGCATTACAAGTCATGTTTTAATCACTCTCATTCCACGCGTGATGTCACGTTTCACGTGAGCATTGTGGGTTGCTTGAAATTCTTGCGTGAGGGTATGTAGCTCTGACGTCATGAACCTATCGACCAATCAGGATTTTCCAGTAACGCCACCGACATCGGCTTTTCTGTGACATGAGCTCATTAACGCTATCGAGTTAAAATCATCAGTTAGCAAAGGGGATGCCATTTGCAAATTAAATTGACCGGCATCTTGTCAAGAACAAACCTCAACAGCCAGGCTCTGCCAGCTTATTCTGCATAAGAAAATGTTCACTTGGGCAAGCGCTATTTTGGGCCAGATTCGATTTGAGTGCGAAAGTGCGAATAGATTAGAGTGAACAATTGCGATTACTTCTTGTTGCATGATTAGTGGCATGCATGCGGTGCTGAGTGTAAACAATGTTTGGTTAGAACAACAAGCGCATTTGGATTGCCGCTCGGTGTTTCTAAAAAAAATAGACTGAAAGGAATTATCCTAAACCTTTTGTTACATTCTGGGAATTTCATTGCTTTTAGCTCAGTTGTGTCGTAATCATATACATATATATTGTGAAGTGTGTTTCGTAAACCTTATTTCATTATTAGCATGAGCACGAGGAGCTCATTTCATAATTTTATGCGATGTAATGAATTCCTTAGTTCAAGGACACAATCACGATTTCCTTTTAACACTGCGACACAAAGTTGTACCAATCACAGGTATTTTAGACGACCTACCACACTTTGCGACAACATTTTATACCGTGTAAATAGATCAGCTTGAACTTTAGAATTTTACTTAAACACGAAGAAAGCACAATAAAACACTGTATAGTTCTAAATTTGAAGCTGATTTATTTACAAGTATGTACCAACCAGCTCAACTTTTTACTCTTGTACTTAAACATTTTCATTCAGGTAAGATATATGTTACCGGTAAACAAAGGGATGTGGAGTCGTATGAAAACGACGTTATGTATGGTAATGTAGATTTTTTTCTACTCTTGAGTCGAAATTAAATAACTGAATTTAATATTTTTGGTACCTAAAAACAAAAGTAAATTGCACGGACGATCGAAGAAACTATATAGTTAATCATTTCACGGCGTAAATAGTGCATATTGCCAGAACAACGCTAAAAATATATTCTCAATTTAGCGGTTCAAACCGGTTTGAACCGGATTGAACCAGTTTGAACCGGTTTGAACCGCTATTTTTTGCTCCCCGGAACTAAACCGGAACCGAACCGAAAGCCGTGAACACGAACCGGAACCGAACCGATAAAAATTTCGGTTCGACACTCTGCTCTCTGCAATGCCTGGCTGGGCAACCCTTCCACTACCAAAAACGACTCAAGACTAAATTCTAACATGAGCAAGCAAAAAGGAAGATATATATCTGTCATTCTTCCTCAGTCTTTTCCTTAAGAATACCAAGTCACAAAACATCTAGCGACACCTGATTCAAAGTATTGTCATGGCCAGGCACCCACCTTGATGAGTATGTCCTTGGCTCCTGTGGGCTGCAGGTTGAAGTGAGCAATCTCCGGGCTGAGGAAGGTGGGGTTGATGGCGTACATGCGCAGGCAGGTGTCCATGAGCTCCAGGGCCAGGTCCCAGTGCTCTTTGGGCATGCCGCCCTCCTTGTGGCCCAGGGCCAGCGTGCCCGGCAGGTAGCATACCAGGTGGTCCTAAAGGAGATTCCCAAAGAGACCCAGTACCAATGTTACTAGATCAAATTCCGTTGACAAGCTTCGTAAAATGCCTGGAGCCTTTATCTGGCGAGTCTGCTCGGTGGCACTCGCTACGCCATATATCAGCCCAGCCCATTTGGACAGAAGCGACGAAACCGATGGAACGATGGATGCACATTGCCCGCAGTGAAAAGTATTTCTATTGCAGTTTTTATGGTGAACATGATGTTTGCACAAAAAGCAAGTCATTCAAAACCGGTCCCTCTCCAATGCCCGTGAGAGCGGTGGCGATAGGCTCACCATCCGCCTGTACCTGTTAGCGTGTGGGCAACTGAGAGAGACTGTTTTCAAACAATGCTCCTCCGAGGAGCTTGCCAAGTGATAGCTTTAAAGGGACACTGACGGGGTATATATGCTCGCCAAGGTCTGCACTTGTACATGCCATACGAAACCCCAACTACCCAGACCACAATTTGCAGCTTGAAATTCTTTTTCTTCCCACCTGAAAACCGCCGATCAAGAACTGGTCGGTTTGAGTCACCCTCACTCTCTTCTCCGTGGTCACCTGCACTTCTCTACAGTTTAGACACATACCAAATATAGTCGAAGTCGTGGGCTATCAAGGGCACGCATTCAATATTAAAAAAAATAAATATGATACCCATTTTTTGTGGTTTCTAAAAAAAACTCCAAATACGTTGATTGAAAAGGCTCGAGGTACACCTAAGCACTTCTTATGAGTTGTGAATGCGAAAGCATGCTTGTCGTTCTTCCGCGTCGGCCGTATTTGCGTCGGCCGATTGCGATGACTCTTCTTGCCCTTCTTGCCTTGGACGTTTGGATGTTACCGGCGCGCTCGCAACACGCACACGGAGCGCCACGGGTGGCGGTTGATGAAAGTGACGCGCAGCAGCCAATGAGAGCCTCGTCGACGCACACCAGCCCAATGGGACCGAGGCCAAAATCCATTAGCTTTACTCCATTCCTTTGAAATCAGGAAAACTAGGTGCTGTTTGGCTAGGCTTTTCGTGTGGTTTCATAGCTGGAAGCTGGCTTCACTTGGGTAAAGGATTTAAGGTGCCGTTTGGAGCTGCTTCAAAGCTGATGACGTCGGCTCATACAATGAGACCTGTTAATGCTTTCGCACTAAAAAAAAAAGGTTGCAGAGGGAAATTGAAGCACTCTTTGCATTCTCTTTGTAATTGTCAACATGATGTCATATTGCAGGAGTTGCGGACTGGACGGCTGAACGAAGCCGACTAAGTGATGGCAGCGGACGACAGGCATGTGACCTCTACTTCAGAACTGTCGTTCGCAGTACCAGCGAGTTTGTCTAGCTTAGAAAGAGAAATATTTTACTCATCAAAACAATTAGGGTTTATTTCATACTACACACCCGCCCACCCAGCCGATTCACAAAAAGACGTCGCCGAGTCGTCGCCTTTTCTCCTAGCTGAAGACATTGCTCGTCTTAAAAACACGAATTGGTAAGAGCTTGAAAAATGTGCCAACATCAAGCACGCAGTGCCTGACTTGGGCGTCTTTTGTGCGACGAGCAAACTTTTCATCTACTTCGCGCATCCAAAAAAAATTCACAAAAAAAAAAAATAAAAACGCGGTTGGGTGTAGTTACGTGACTTCTGGCAACTTTCTCCTCTTCTACATTTCTTTTCCCTCCCCAGTCTAGTTTCGAATTCGGGGTGTTGCGCTTTTTTTACCTTATTAAACATATATGTGGCGCTGTAGCAAAATATTGATTGTGATGTCTTGTGACACCATATTATATCGCCTAGCAAAAATCTTTAAGAATGTTGCCCGGTACTGAATCTACATAATTAACAACATCAGCTGGACACACAAATGCCATTCACCAACTGTTTGTTTTCAGCTGGGCTTGTTCACACACAGAGACTGTTGTAGGTGTTATTGAAAAAGTAACGAAATATGTTACTCATTACTTGCAAATAAAAGGAACGTGTTACCGGTCTATGTTACCGCAAAATAAAAGGCATGCGTTACCGTTACCGCTAAAAAGTAACGCACGTTACTTTTGCTTTGATTTTTATTTATAAATTGATGGTAGCAGCGTTCTTTGGAAATTTTTTGCTTGGGAAAAATACAAGCAACATTTTGAAGGTGTGTGGGAATGAGTGCGATAATTAATGACTTGGCGCCTATACTTCGTGTCAGCTTAAGTTTGCACGTAGCTGACAATAATGAGACCAATCAAGCAGCGTCAAAAGCACAAGTAACTGGGCCTTTCTTTGTTTGTGTTGGGTTCAGCGACGATAGAACACGTACAGAAACATGACGAACACCATGATGGTGCCCTTTTGACCCTGTCTGATTGGTCCCAACAGCTTTACAGCGTTGGCTGCATCTGTACAAAGTAATGTAACTATAAGAGAACTTGTTGTTGGGCTAGTTGGTGTTGACTGTATTGAACCATGGTTAAAAGCGCTAAAAAGACGTACACAAGATAAAAGACAAACACGGGCGTGTTTGTCTTCTATTTTGTGCCCGTGTTTGTCTTCTATCTTGTGCTTGTGTTTGTCTTCTATCTTGTGTACGTCTTTTTAGCACTTTCAACCATGGTTCAATAACACGTAACTATATTACCCGTTACTAGAAATAAGTAATGCAAGTATATTACCCGTTTTTGTTTTAAAAAAGTAACGAGTATGTAACTAAGTTACTAAAAAAGCAATGCATTACTTGTAATGCGTTACCAGCAACGCTGCACACGGGCATCGGTTGTGTTCACAGCAAGTGAAACGACAATGGTGATGAGTTACTGTTAAGGAGTGGCTGCGGAAGCGATCACAATTAACGAAGGTGAACATCTGTATTCTCATTCTGTAATTCGTTAGTCGCAAGCAAAAGGGCCAACCAATCTACTTGTTCACTTGTTTACCATGTGGTGTATGAGGCACATTTGTACAAGCGACTTTTCTGTCGCTCTTGTTTTAACTGTTGTGAACATTATGAACACAAATGTCTGCAAGCAGCCTTTGGCCGGTCGAGCTGAGGCAACCAAATGAAGACGGTGGTCTAGTATACATGATTTTACTTGTAAATAAAAGAGTGTAAATTTAATTTATTTTATTTAATCACCTTTCAGTAGAAATATGGTTCCTTTTTCTCTAGCTTCCTTGAATTTCAGAACATATATACTGAGTTGTGGAGACCTACATCTGCTGGATCTGCCTGTCAAAACATTCAGAAGTCTTTCGCAGCAAACAAAGTGCATTGAACAGAAAGCTCGAGCCACAGATAGAAAGCAGCTCCAGTCGTGACGGCACGAAAGGAAAGTTGCAGCACAATATATTATACTATCTAAATCAAAAGTTTCAAACAACTTCTTGAAGATTTAGATAAGTGCTACTGCTGAGACAGGCCATAATGAAGTCGGTTATAACTAGGGCTCCGTGTTTTCGGATAAATTCGTAAAACTCCGAAAAACACCCACTGGTAAAATTTTTGTCAATTCGGATTTCTCCGGTAAACTCCGAATCGTTATGTGCCTATGCCACCCCCCCCCCCCAAACAAAACAAAAAAAAGTTGATTTTTTTTTTTTTTTTACAATTTGAGCAGCGCAAGATCAATGACCCTGGGAAAATGACACTCTAATTGTCTTTCAAGCCTCGGATCGTTGTCAAAAGGGGGTCTTACGGCTTGTCTCGTCAAGGTTGGTCCAGGGAAACAGGTCATCGTAACATTCGTGTCACGACAAAAGCCACTCTTTTGGTTTCCAGTTTGGGCCACGGGATTTGGGATTTAGAGAAAGGAGAGGGTATGTTTCTGGGGGTAAAAGTGAAAGCTATCGACCATAGAGATTGTATAAAATAGGAAAGAGGGGCAGTTGAAACTTCTCTATTACACCCTTAAAACCACTCCAGCTCGCCCAGCCGCGGGATAGATCGATGGGATATGACTAAGAGCTTCTTGCGGCTACCTCCGGCAGTTTATTGATTTTAAGGTATCGACATTTATCGAAGCCACACACTTGTGTGCAACTTTTGTTGTGGGACAAATTAGTATTGCCAATGACACCAACGCCAAATTCAACTGAAGAAATCTTAATTGATACAAGTGCATTTTATTTTTTATATGGCATACGTTTGCATCCGGTTATTATTTATTATTTTTAATAGAAAACACTGCGAAATTAATCTCCGAATTTCGGAGAATTGGGGATTTACGAAAAATAAACTCCGATAAACACCGAAGTTTTTCTAAAAAATAAACTCAGAAAAAAACCCTCCGAATTTCACGAAAAATAAACTCCAAAAACATGGAGCCCCAGTTATTACGAAATTGCGGCTACAGCGAAGCAATCACAATTTCCCATTCACCTTCGCAATTTTTCAATGCATTTGTGTCAGTTTTCAGTGGAAGAAATTGAGCGGTTCCCACGATTATAGCAAAGAAATATTTTGTAATCATTTAAACAACAGTAGAATTAGGAAAGTTCACCAAGCCTCAGACTGCTCCACCTTGCTGCCGCGGCCGAGCAGCCGCCCAGAATGGGCCACAGACGATGCTGCAAAAGCCGGTGGATGCAGCCTCTGCATCGTGATCTGTTCCCCGCTCCTTATCTGGGAAGCAGCTTTTCCGCATCGCACGCGGAGAAGCCGTTGTGTATGCCAAGAGGCATGCCATGACGGCTCCTTGCAGGCTGCAGCTCGCTTTCCAAACGCGGCCCACAAATCACATGACCCTTATCGAGCAGTTGCCCCCGCTCTTAAATTTAGGCTCTCCATACCAAAAAAAGACGAGCTTGAGCGTAAACACGGTGCCGTGCACGCCTCTTTGTTTGCTTCGCGTTTCGTGTCAGCGTTGCTGGTAGATGTGGTCGCTCCTCTGGGAGAGTCTAGCTTCGCTCAAGCACAGATTCGGTGAATCATCGCCACTTAACAATGGAGAGTCCCGGCACCACCAGCACCTCGACGGGGAAGACGAAAGCAGTATTTTCAAAACAAAAGCATGCCATCCTCAACGAAGTATGCATAAACATAAAGAATGCCGTCCACCGTCGGCATCCTTTGTGGCGGCTGTCGCAGCTGTCGACACGGTCCGTATATAGCTCGTAGGATCTTTTCTTGATCGGAGCTTCTCGCAGTTGGCGAGAAGCAGCTCCGATCTAGCAGATAGTGCGTGCAGGGAAGCCTCAACCACTTTCTGCAGGCACAATAACATGGGCCCGTGACGGCTTGTGTTATCTTTCTTTGTGCGTCACTTTTATAAGTCCACATATGATGAAAAAGTGGATATAGCGAAGAGATTTCCGATTCCTGTTGACTTTGTTGTAACCGATCTCGATAGTACTGCCATCCTCCATCGGTAGCAGTTCCAGCTACTTGCCCCTCCGTCCTAACTGCTAAACACCATAGAGCTAGCTGCTGTTATCATGTAAAGACGATATTGCCTAACACCGACAACTAGTGTCATCAATGAATTGTGGAAGCTAGAACACATGTGCGAAGCCAACTGAAAATTGCACGAAATTTGCAAAACAAAAAAACTAGTTCCACTCTATTTTCTAAGAACAAACCATACGTCGGTACATATCGCATCTAAATTTCAAACATGCATTTAAAAAATTATATTTTGAATATGTGGTAAACGCCCTTGCTTTGCGAAAACAGCCTGAAGGTATTTTGACATGCTCCAAATTTTATGCGACGTTTGGCAGGCTTTTTACGCATGTGTTTCATCTTTGAGTCGCAGTGACGAGTAGCCGAACAATGTCTGCTATTGACAAAGGACGCCGTCCCAAGGCTCGAAATTTCCGAAAGATCCCTTCTCACTTTTGATCAAGCCAGCATGTTGGGCTGAAACACTCCCATTCTGCCTTCACCGTATCCACTCCCTGCGATTGAACTTTTTGGTCATAAGAATGAAGGGGATGGAATATCCCTCTGGTAAAGTGCTAGTGATGTCTGATGTTTGGATCACACTTTTCAATGAAACATTGGCTACAGAGCTGATTGTAGGTTTCCAGTGGCCTGTGATGGTAAAAATTAAGACTGGCTCTGGAAAGACATGATAGTAAAATGTAAAGCAAGTAACGGAACAGTAGCGAAATCAGGAGTCTCTCACCATCTTGGGGGAGAAAGTGAGACCACGCAGAAGCTCGCCAACAAAGAGAAGCTTGTTGGGCTCGGAGTACCTCACAAGGTGCTTCCGGATGCCTTCAACAGCTTCCAGGTAGTCATCCTTGAGCCTGCAAAAGAACATTTATCGTTAGCATTTAGAAAGAACTCGCATAACTTTTTGTTACGCACAGTTCAGGAATGGAATTCTCAAGAGCCATACACAAAGGCCAAATGATGATCAATCAGCTCACATTGAATGTCTTTTTGAATCTTCTGAAGTGTCAAAAATTGGTGATCCCACTTTGATGATGCCTGTGTGACCTTTGTGCAACTGATTAGAAGCCACTGTTTCTTTAAAACGAGAAATCATAGGTCTCCGCTATTTTACGCTTATCAAAGATGTAAACAGTCTTCACAGATTTCCCCAACTTTACCTAGTCCTGGACCAAAATCCTTGACAATCTGAGATGAGCTGGCCAGGTTCATCTTAACCCCCCGAGATTTTTGCCATTTTTGCCGTAGGCAGAAAATAGGGTGAAGTAAGGCACCACGAGATTTGACAGCCACTACATCAGGGAAAGTAGCACCAAGGTCGGAAGGGATCATCATTGGGTTCATAATTATTCATACATGTTTTCCCCACCCTCAAAACTTTGGAGAACTCCACCAATGTCTTTTGCAGATGGCAGGCACTGATTACACTACCCGAAAAAGGCTTCGTTGGAATAGAGAACTATCAACTCCACTCCACCATGCTGCAATCCCCAGCTCAGTGACTCGCCATAAAATACCAAGCTAGTGCCCACCCAAAAGCTAAGCATAATTTAAAAAAAAAATGGGGTTGGGCATTTGCTAGGTTCAAGAGCTGAAAAGAAGGGACATATGGTAGGGCAACCCATTGCTTAATCCGACGGAACAGTATAGGACCAGGATAGGGGTGTAGCAGAGACTTCAATATTTAAAACAGCCGTGCCGCTCTCGTCAAGTACGCTTAGTGCCGGCCCTCTCGCATTAAGCTTCGCTGTCTCATACCAACGCACGTGCGTAAAGCTTCACCACTTTGCAATGGCGTGTTCGAAAAAGCAGCTGATGCAGTTAGCTTGGTGGGATCAGGAGTCTGCTGGGGTGGGTGCTTGGCATGTCGTTTGCTTATATTTCGAAACATTTCAAAAGTAGGGCGTGGGCACTTATTGCAGAATGAACCCATGCTCATTATTTCACAGCCAGGGTTCGGAAACCTTTTGAGCTTGAGGAACCCGTATCCCCCTTGAACGAAGTCCGAGGAACCCCTCTCTGTCTCGGCATTGATGCAATAAAGTAGTGCAGAAGTCTACGGACCTTGTAAACAATAATATGCATGCTAGGGAGCGCTTGGTTCATAGCTATATATCAGAAAGTGGCCACTTTACTTAGGCCCCCTTTAGGTGGGGCAATCTTCGCAGCAATTTCGGCGTTGCTGGCGAGTTGTTCCCCAGCCTGCCCTAGATCCCCATGCTACAACCCAAATTGCTGGGATTGAGTCCGGCTCGAAACGGGCGAGCAATTCGGACAACTCGGAGACGTTCGAAACGGCAGAAGCCAATCGGGGATGCAATATTTTCATGCGACACCCCCGTAGCGACGATAAAGACGGGGTTTAACCTGGTTCTGGTTTTAAATGGATCCTTTTTGGGAATAAATCGTTTCAGAAAACTGAGTTAGTATATTCTATGTCATTTAAAGATATAAAAACATGTTTATAACGTGCAACTGTGTAGCTAAATAGTGCAGAAACATTGAAATTTAACGACGATCATGGCAAGTTGTAGCAATTTGGCCGCTGCATGTGAACGCGGGAGCCCGTGTTGCCAGTGTTGTGACATCAAGTTGCCAGGAGAAACTACCCTGTCCGACGTGGGCCTTAGGGGCAGGGTTGGTCGAGAAAAATTGAAAGCCCAGAGAACCCATGAGGGTACTCTGGAGAACGCCTGGGTTTCATGAAACCCAGCTTGGGAACCTATGCTTTACTGTAAAGGTTCGTTCAGACACTTGCGTCTGCTTAGGACCGAGTTCTAGCTATTGCTTAGGACCGGAGAACATGCCGGCATGCTGGCACCAGCTATGAGGTGACCCTGCGTTTCACCGGAGCGCAGGTTTTGCAGCATTTGTGAGATCAGATGCATGCGTTATCTAAAAAACGACCAATTATAACATTGTCAGAAGTTTTTCAAGCAAAAAAAAACAACATTGAGCATGAAAAAAATAGAAAATTTACAAAACTGTCAAGTGTTTCACAGTCACCCAATAGATGGCGCCAGCGTACTCTCCCCACAAGAGATATAAAGAGGTTTTAAGGCACACGGTCGTAAGCAGTCATAAGTGTGTGCACCAGCCTTAAAAAGCACTAAACCACTTTCTGCTATAGTCTATGCTTGATCCTAACTCAATCTGTGGGCTCTAAGCATCCTAAAAAAACCAAACATTACATTCGTGCATGGGCAATTTCTCTATTGAAATCGGTATCAAAGATTGATTACCTTGGAATTATTGCCGACACCAGGGGGCGTCGTCGGACGAGAAGAAGGACTTCTTATCGTCCTACAGCGCCCGCTGGCGTTGGTGATACCGTAGTTCCGATTTTATCGAAGACATCGGCCAAGTATGAATGTAATGTTTCTTTTTTGGATGCTTAGAGCCCATAAATTGAGTTATGACCATTAAAAGACTATTGCGGAGAGTGTTTTCATGCCTCTTAAAGGCGAGTGTGACCGGTTTGAAGGGAAGGCTCACCAGGAGATGGTCATGCCCGTCTGCAGCCACTGCTTAAGCAGGTACTCGTAATAGCTGTCTGCCCTCGCCCCCAGGGTCAGGGTGCTGCCAGAGCTAAAGCGGCCATTGTCGGCGTTCACAAACATGGGCACCAGGCCGCTCCGCTTCGGCAGCCGGTGCAGCAGCTCCGACACTGCAAATGCCTTTTTCTGCAAAAGTTCGCACCGCACGCCTCAGGGGTCACCTCCGGCACTCTTGCGGGTTTATATTAAAGCATGAAAGGCTTTTTAAAGAAACTTCCAATTCAAAACTTTGTCCGTGCATCCGTCCACGCATTTCCCGCTAAATTTAGCGGGAAATGGACGTCGCGGGACCTGTACACCAATTCAGTTTCCCCGCTAATATTAGCGGAAAAATTGATGTAACGTCAGCTGACGTTACGAGACCTAGACCACTTCGGTTTCCCCACTAAATTTAGCGGAGAAATGATGACATCTGGCCTTCGTAACAAGTCAGCTCCCCTGCTAAATTTAGCAGGGAAACTTAATAAAAAGTATAGGTTATTCTTCATTCCCCAGTACGACTGTTCAGTGTCTTCTAAACAAATTTAAACGATCGCACCTCAAGTAACGCATTACATGCATTATAGAACTTTGAAGATAATGGTCACTGTCAATTTTTTTATTTATTTACTTAATTTACTTTTAGAACATAAGCATTACAGAAAGGGAAGTGGGCACACATAAACTGGAACAGATTATAACACATGGGAAAACATAAGAAGCAGTGGTTAGATAATGAAATGATCTAAGGTGCTTTTAAAAAGAGCATATTCTGTGATTGAGACTATGGGGACAAGAAGGTGGTTCTAGTCATGGGCTGAAGAAGGTATGAAGGAGGGGCGAAAGATATTGGTGCGAGCTTACAGAATGCCAACTTTGTGTTGGCGGTTGAGTTTACATAAAACACCAAAGCCCACTGAAAAGTGGGATGTTGGTGTCATAAATTTTATGGAATAAACTTAGTCGGGCTATTTTTTTACGAGTTGATAAGTCAGGGAGAGAGAAATTAGATTTCATAGTAGAAGCACTGGCTGTCAGTGTTTTGAACACTGCTGTCAGTGTACTTCAAAGGCAGACCAACTTTACACTGTCCAAACACAAACGTCAAATTTGGTTTTGGTTTGCGGGTTTAAAATATGCGAAAATGCACTAGGAACAAATACAAAATGGAACAGACAAGTATACTGAGAAATATAACAACACTGAAGATGTCTGACAGGCAGTTGCACAAATGTCAGTAAGACAGGTAATAAGAAAACAAGCCGTTGAACAGTAGAAACTTGCGCAAGAGGTAAATAAGTAAAGCATATTAAAAGAGGGTCAGTCAAGCATACAATCGATGAATGCGAGAGAGTGTGAGGATAAAAAAAAGCACAAAGATGTCTTTGACACATGCATATGTTGGAACCTGAGGTTCCATGTGCAAATGAGGAAAATTGTCGAAAGTGAGACAAAGCTAGGATGACAATTTTTTTCTTTCGATGTACGTTGTAGTCAAATGTGGCTTCGACACGCGGTGTAAGTGTACTGGGGAAAAGCCAATCCCTTCGGCGCTTATACAACTGGCACGCACTCGAGTTTGCTTGGAGCAACTGCAGCCACATGATAAAGGAGAGATTTTTTTCAGAAAAGTGCTTTCTTCTCTAGGGGTACAATAACATGAAAACAAAGCCAGGTACTGGCTTACAATCTGACCAAGTTTTAGCATAAAATAGAAAAAAAAAAAAGGAGCCCTTACTTCAAACTGGTCTTCCCCAGTGAGCCTGCTGAGTGTCCGGAATTCCAGCTGGAGGCTGGACACTTCTGAAACGGTGCTGTCCGGGGCCCATGATGGCGAGTGAGCCCGTCCCGTTCCAAGGTTGACGTCCGAATAAGGCACCCCTGACCGGGAACCGAACCCAGGCAGGAGCCGGGTTCCGAGGTCCTTCTGAATCGACACAAGGCGAGATTCATGAGTACACCATGCACAAGGGCCATCCCAACCTCCTAAACCGGATATCATCAACAGCCGCACAGCTCACTTCTGCGGGTGTTGCTTCTCCGCAGTGTGCCAATGCTCGGTAAGAAGTGCGCGCAATGGGGCTAACCTGCCTCGATCAACATTTTTAGAAGTACAAATATTGCAGTCGCATGATTAGGAGGAAAGCACACGTTAGTGCGGGATGATGCACGCACGTGCCTGGTGTGCAGGGATGGATGCAGGAATTTGCGGAGGGGGGGGGTCAGGTGTTGGTCAGCATACCATATGTTTAGGAACCCCCTCCCCCTCTCCCTTGTTTTACGCCCTAAATTTTACACATGTAAAAATCAAGAGGGAGGTCAAGACATCCGAACCGCCCCCCTAAATCCGCCCCTGCTGGTGTGTCTAAAAAGAAGTGAAAACTTTGGGAATGTTGATTTCTAAACTACAGTAAAATTTCCAAAATTAAACTGGGCCTATTACGCAAAAGTATGTTAGGCAAAGATGTCCTGATCCGCTTCTTTCATTATCCACGATTGTTTTTTGTTTTTTTTGTTTTTTTTACTTTTCTTAAGTTTGAGATATAAGAAAGCATATCTGCATATGGCAAGGAGATTTATAAATCCCGAAAAGGAGTTTTGGCTGAACATTATCCGCCAAAACTCCTATTAGCTTCGAACCCAATATCTACTGTTTGTACAAGCCTAACCAGTAGTGACGCCTACATGGCTATCCAGGAACAATTGGTGACTGACCGCTTTGTCCAGGTAAAGCTGATCCTGGGTGAGTGTGTGCATGCTGAGCAGTGCCCCCAGCACTCGGATGGTCGTCTCAAACAGGTTCACGTCGCGCTGCTGGTTCAGGTTCAGACTGTGCGCAACCCACTCACGAGCTGCTGCCAGTTCTGCAGAACAAAGCATGCATGGCATTAACAATGTAATTCATGAAGCATAGCTGCCTGCTTGAAAAGATGCTCTCTTATTGAGGCAAAGTTACAACACACTTTAAATTAGAAAGCACACTTCTAAAAAGGGCTAGCAAATTCTGCTTTTACAGGCTATGAGAAGGGCTCTTTCTACACTGTCGAGGAGCATAAGGGGAAGGGACCAAGTCTGTTCCTCTTGAGTATGAAATCTCAAGTACTTGAAGTAAAGTGAAAAGTAAATGAGAGGTTATGTACTTGAAGTAAAATACTGAGTATGCCAGGTGCAATGTACATGAACTAAAGTACTATAAATACAATGTACTATCAAAGCAAAGTACACAAAGTACAAGTACTTTTTAACACAATCTCACAATCTTCCATGATGTCCTTTCATTCCCTTATACTGTTTTTTTCTTTTTGTTTTTTAAATCTGGTATGCATTGCTTTAGGGGTAATGGGGGTGCACCAGTTATTTCGGAAATGGCGGCGAAGATTGGTAAAGTCAAGTGGTCAAATAGTAGTTTTACTCTAGCTGATAAAAACACAATCAACCTATAAGGCACTTATTTGTTGACAAAGAATCATTTTGTGATACAAAATTAACATGATCAAATTTGGGGAATGTATGCTGATGCCGGAAAGTACCACGAAGTACCGGAAAGTACTAAACCTACTTTAAAGGGAAGCTACGAAGCTTCTTAAAAAAAAAAAGAGTTAGAAGTGAATTCTAGTGTATTTTTACCCCGTGAACCTGAATACCCAAACCATTTCCTGCACAAGTATTGTTAAACGCGAGAAAACGCGAAAGACAGTCGCTGTATGTGACGTCATCGACAGATCTTTTAGCTGGCCAAGGCTAGGAGGCGGGGCTTTGGCCCTATTTTAAAATTGCTCTTATGGCTTTCTGGCGTGTCGCATTGAAACATAATTGTGATATCTGTTATTCTAAAGGCCAAATGAACGCAACTCAAGTGTTTTTCTCAAATGCAGAAGCGCCCCATCTTCCCTTTAAGCTGCTGTCATCAGACTCCAGACCTTAAAAAAGACTGAACTCCCAAAAAATGTCTTTGATCTCCTGGATGGGACATCAGTGATGCAATCGATCTGAATCCTTTTGGAACACCTTTCGGAGCAGCTACAAGTCCATTTTGGAGCATATGTTTACACTTCATCTTCATCCTACCACTGCAAATATTAAACATTAAGATGAATGCGTTGGCCTGGTCCATCAAAAGATATTGTCCACTTTGCCTTCCCACTTATGTGCACCTTTTTGTTAGTGTCAATTGCATGGCAGGTTTGATTCTCTCAAACACAGAGCAAGCTGTTGCTTGTAGAAGTATCAGGCACAACAACAATGCACTGAACGACAAAGGACAAAATGGACTGCTGCAAATGATTATTTTAGGCACAAAGCTAAAGGTAAACCAAATAGTATATTCCATGGAAATTATGTTAGAAGAGAATAATATTGAGCACCCAAATGGATGCCTTACTTAAGTACAAAAGGTGGTAATAAAACTGCAATTAATGATTCAGATAAAAACAAAGCTTTTGTCATTTGATTGTTAACATCACTAACAATTTATATGTAGGAATTCATGATAACAAAAAGTGGCATGTGAACAATACATAAGCCTTAGAATTAATTCAATTGAACTCGCTAAGGTAATACCAAAGTTTCCCTTCACTCCTCCAGTTGAGTTTCCCTTCACTCCTCCAGCTGATAAAACCCGTTTGCTCTACTGACGTCTAACCCCTGGTTAGCTCAGTTGGTAGAGCGCTCCACCTGTAATGGAGAGGTCCCGGGTTCGATACCCGGACCAAGCGGATTTTTTCAGACGCTCACCAGTCACCTAGCTGTGTTTAGAGATTTATGTTTGTCCTTTGTCCCCCTTGTTCCCCTTCTCCAGGGATTATTTTCGTCATTCTTGTCCAGCTCGCTTGCACCTTTGCATTTAATTGCATTATAATTACTCCTCCAGTTAATTGAGTTTTAATTCACTCTGCACTGTGCCATCGCACAGGTAGAACCTATGTAAAGGTAGTAACTAAACCAGAAAGTTAACATAAAAAATAATCTTGTAGAGAAGTCTATATAAAACTTCACGCAATACACAAGTATCCTCGCTAAATCTCCAATTTGAACAAAAAAATCATCAGAATATTGCAGTCTCTCATATATACTAGCGGATGTTTAATTCCAAATATTTTACTGCAGAATAGAGTTGTTAAATCAGCACTCACCAAGCTCTTTTATTTTTAATACACCCAATGTTTGTGTGTGCAATGCTTTGCTCTGGAAGAGAGCTTTCCCCTAAATATGTGGCTGCGCTGCGGCGAAGCAAGATACGAAAATCGCGATGCCTACTCCGTGGTTTTCGCTTCAGTGCAATGCACCAGTGCTCGGTGAGAAGCAAAATGAATGAAGCTATTTCTCCCACCAGAACAGACCATAAACATGAGAGTATTGTGCGACTTCCGAGTACTGTCAGTGTTTGACACAGATATCAAACAGTTCTGAAAATTCGGACAAGCCTACCATAACGATCCTGCCGTGTAGCAGGTCCTCAGCTCTTATATCTTTAGTATTAGTAATAAGGTGAAATTATGGGTTGGTGCAACGTTGGTGCAAATGCGTCAAATTTTGTTGAAATGTAGCAGGATGCAGCAGGATAAGCACTTTGGCGCAGCAATCACATCACTGGACATATACATACAAAAAAAAGAAGAAAATTACCTTTTCACCCTTAAAACAGAATTTTAGTGTGATATTTACATCACCATTCCTATACGTGCTTTTATTTTTATTGTCAACTATGAAATAGATGCCCGTCGCAAGACCCAAATGAGTGTACAATATATATATAGTATATATATATCTTTTTGCAGAAAAGTCATTTATGACATATGTGTCCAGGCTTCAGAGTTTTCGGTTTAATCCGATAAAAACCGATAAAAGTATGCCGGATATATTTTCTGAAATTCGGTTTTAACCGGAAAAGGTCAGTTTTTAGGTTCGGCATTTTCAATCTAAACTGATAAAGACCGATAAAAATTCATTGAATCCATTTTCTAAAATTTAGTTTTAACCGAAAAAGGCCACTTTGACCTTCCAGTCGTACTGCAGAGCCGTGGCGAAACAGTGGAACGACAGTGTCTATCAAAACGTGTCCAAATGTATGGGATACACGGACAACATCACAACGTTTTGGTTTAATGTGCGTATCATCGATCGGAACGTGAAGACTGAAATGCCCCATGACTTCGCCATGTACGAGCGTGTTTTCAAACATGTTTTACGGAAGACTGACTTGATGCAAGCTCTGCATGTTGTGTTGTGTTTCAAAACGTCGCACTGTGTCTCTTTTGGCGGTCACAATTGGTTGATTGTCCGATTTTTTCGAAGGCAGCGCTTCATCTCCTCAGCCTGCCAGTGTCCAGTGTTAGTGTTGAGAGGGCATTCTCGAAGCTCAGGGTCATATTAACAGGAAAACAAGAGTGCAGATCAAGGAGGAGAACCTGCTACGCAACAAACGCCGCCAACGAATAGCATACAGCGCCGAGAGCCGGCGTCTTCAGCAGACAATCTTTTCGACTCAAAAGCGGCGCGCATTCCGCAGGCGGCGACAGTCGCAGAAACAAAAACAGGCGCAGTAACAACAAGGAACTGCAGTTCCTTGTCTGCTAAAGATGCTGACTCTCGGCATCGTATGCTCGTTCTTTGGCGGCAGTTGGCGTCGCAACCGCTTGCGCCTCTCTTGTCTCCCGTGCGAAACGGCGCCGTGTTGTTTGAAGACTGGTGGCTTCGCTGCGTTTCCATAGGAGCTAAACCTTTTCCTTTCTTTACTTTTTCCTCAGGTAAGTCCGCTCTTTGCAAATTTTACAAAAAAAAAATGCACCATCTGTGGGCAATGCTACACAAAGTTGTAGCGCTATAGGTTAAGAAACCGAATTTTGCGGTCGATTTAAAGAGCCTGGCCTTTCCTTGAATCACTCTGTAAAACAAATGATTCTACAATAAATGCGCACAGAACACGGTAAGGAGGCAGCAGCAAGAAGTCGGTCAAAAGCCGGGGGCGCTCACCAGAGTCCAGTCCCATGAGAAACATGGTGTCCAGCGCGTCCACCAGGGTGAGCCCGAGCCCAAACCAGTCGTGGTAGCTCCTTGACACCGGCTTCAGATGGTCGTGGCCCCAGGCATGGGTGCGGTAGCCCTGCCAGGCGTGCCGGAACGCCGCCACCACGGCATCCCTGCGCTCCCGCGTACTCTGCGTCCACCGCACGACCCGCCGTCAGTTAGAACAGAAACACCCACTCGGAAACCCTGTACCCTGTTTCATGCACCATGCATAGCATTTCGTCTTTCTGTGTTTTAGTTTGCCCCAAAGATTTGGCGTTTTTGTCTTCGTTTTTGGTGTAAACATTCGTAGTTAGGGGGGGCTTATGTTGAAGGAAACAGCAGATGGGCATTAAATTCCAAAACTTCAGGAAATGTGCGCATGGCCCGATACTCGTAAAATGTCCTGGTGCTGATAAGACAAAAAACAAAAAAAGAAAAAAAAGGAGGAAGCAACCTTGCAGACAGTTCAGTGTGGTCTGTGCTTATGGTCAACACATAATAAAATGATAGATAAATATTTCTTTGTGTGAAACTTGGATTTCCTCTTGTTCAAGAAGAGCTCCAACTCGTTTTTTTTTTTTTTCTCCAATTCTATGAAACCAGCTGAGGTTTACACTTTGGGGTTGATCAGTATGTATGCCGCAAACACGAAACCCTGCTTATGTACAGCACCGTGAGAACAAGTGGCACGAGCATGCGGCCGTAATGTTTCCTATGAGCAAACGAAATGCTAGGTGAAGCCCCGCCCCAGTGCCGACAACTTCCACGGCGTTGTGGACTCTGTACGAAACATAGTATAGTAGCATGAACGAGGGTAGGGGCTCTTATCAGTATAGCTGGAAAGAGGCTCTCGACAAAACGGGTGTGAAAGATAATGTTTCGGTGAGGTATCTCCGGGTGCAGTCGGCGATGTTTATGCCTTTCTCTGAATACGCTCCCCTTTAAGAAGTAAAGATGGATACTGGTGGGCAGGAATCTTCTACTGTGTGCCCCACTGCAGAAACACAAGCACGCGTTATACAGGGTGAAACAAGGAGACGCCAGGCTCTTTAAATCGACCGGAAAATTCGGTTTCTTAACCTATCACGCTACGACTTTGTGCAGCGTTGCCCACAGATGGTGCATTCTTTTTTGTAAAATTTACGAAGAGCGAACTTACCTGAGGAAAAAGTAAAGAAAGAAAAAGGCTTAGCTCCTATGGAAACGCAGCGAAGCCGCCGGTCTTCAAACAACACGGCGCCGTTTCGCACAAGACACAAGAGATGGCGCAACAAATGCTGCCAACGAACGAGCACACGGCGCCGAGAGCAAGCCTTTTTAGCAGACAATCTTTTAGACTCAAAAGCGGCATGCGTTCCACAGGCGGCGACAGTCGCAGAAACAAAAAAGACAGGCGCGGTAACAACAAGAAACTGCAGTTCCTTGTCTGCAAAAGGGCCGGCTCTCGGTGTTGTCTGCTTGTTCGTTGGCGGCAGTTGGCGTCGCGACCGCTTGCGCCATCTCGTCTCTTGTACGAAACGGCGCCGTGTTGTTTGCAGACCGGTGGCGTCGCTGCGTTTCCAAAGGAGCTAAGCCTTTTTCTTTCTTTACTTCTTTCTCAGGTAAGTTCGCTCTTTGCAAATTTTACAAAAAAAATGCACCATCTGTGGGCAACGCTGCACAAAGTCGTAGCGCGATAGGTTAAGAAACCGAATTTTCCGGTCGATTTAAAGAGCCTGGCGTCTCCTTGTTTCACCTTGTAGATCCGAACAAAGGACACTGATGCACGGGTGACAATATTGCATGAACCCGAGATGAGGTAAACACAAAAAAAGGCACAAAAAAATCTGTGTTTTGGTCAATTGCATGTGTACATGTTTTTTTTTTTTTTTTTTAAGGTATTAAAAGGGGTTATTTATATTTCTATTTCACTGCTTTTCTCTACTCATGCCAAGATCAACCAATGGCCTGCAGTGTGTTCCAAATAAATAAATACTATAAACAACTTAATTTTTATGGGCTCAACATTTGCAATGTGCATGTTTTGAAAATATTTCGGGAGCGCAAAATTTTACAATTGGAAATGGTATAATAGGAATTTGTAGTTGTGGGTACCGAATACATATTCGTAGGATTAATTTTTTGTTATACTTTTAAGTCGCAAGATTCATAAAAATTAGGTCTTAGTGCAAATTGAAGGACCGTTCACACACTTGCGACTCTTTAGAACTGGGTGCCTTGAAACCTCTTAAAATTTCTTAGGACGAGAAAACACACTGGCACGCTGGCGCCATCTATGCGGTGAATCTGGAACTGCATTTCACAAAAGCGATGTGAAAGGCTCGTTTATAACGTTGACGAACGTTTTTCGAGCTACGAAAGAAAACATGATGCGCGAGAGAAATAGAAAATATGCAGGACAGCCAAGTTTCCACGGCTACCCGATAGATGGTGCCAGTGTGTCCTTTCAACAAAAGAGATTTTAAGAGGTTCCAAGGCACTCGGTCTTAAGAAGTCGCAATTGTTCGAACGGGCCTTAAGACGTTTAAAGGCAAACATATACCTCAAAGATGGCCCGAAATTAGTGATTTACCAAAGCAGTCTGCTCGACGGGAGCCTGCTGCGATTGCAAAAGCTGCACGGGAGCCGACGTTCCCTCCTGCATCTCGGCTGGTTCTTCGATGGGAGGAAGGCCCCATGGCTGGACACGCACCAGTACCAGGACCAGCACGGCTAGAGCTAGTACCAGTAGCAAGGAGCGCTGGAGCCGAGACAGGCGGTTCCATTCCTGCATAGCAAAGAGGGAGATATAGGTAAAAAATACCAAATACACAGACGCACAGTGATCAATATGGTGGTGTCCTTCTCACTGACTAGACGCCGAAGCCACAGACCATCCATCCGCATCACGCATGGCACCTCTGCAGATTTGCGCTAGGGTCAAATTCAAGAGATGTCTGCGGAGTTTCGTCATGTTTGTGATCCAGAATAGAGTTACTACCGACTTATCACAAAAAATTATTCAGCATTTCTAGGTGCCAGGAAAAGTTATGCTTAACATATCCATGTCAGGTATAAACGGAACAAAAGTTTGTGGCTACTTGAAGTTACATTGACTGATTCAAGCGAACCTGTGACACATCCCAGAACAACACCTGGCTTCTTCGGGACAAGATAAAAAGGCTTGCATAGCCGCACAAGTGATCAAAGAAGCATATATATTTATGGTACACCAAAATTAAGGCAGATCATGGTCATGCTTGTAGGATCCTGGCAGACTTAACTGTAACAAAGACATACCTAAAGCTTTAAAGGTATGCAGCCCATTTCAAGTATAGCAGAGAGAAGTTTTCATCGTGCTAGGATACAACCGCCGTGGGCCCGTGGCTACGTGTGTGCTCTGCGCTACGTGTAAGTACGTTCCGTGCGTTTGCCATTTACAAAACAAGATTCATGCCGCTTGCCGTGAGCGACGTCAGATCCATCGCCATGACCCGACACGTAACCCTGCATTTTTACAACGCGAGAAAATGGCTCTGACATAACGTCTTGACAAATTATTCCGGGTCCGGAGCCACAGCCAGAGCCTAGCAGCTCGCGTGTTGCGATGTTCACTCGTGGCGTATTTAGCTCGCAGCTGTGACGAGCACAAGCGAGGCTCGGCTCAGCGCGGCACGTGAACCGAGGCCGAGTACGTGTCGGCGTTACATGAATCATCAGTGCGGGAATGGCCTCAAACGGCCCGGATCGAGATCGCGTCAAATTAAGCCGCGACGAAGAAACAGCAGTCAAAGATAGCGGCAGATACTGACCCTCCACAGGCTTTTCCTTTGGCTGATCCTCCATGTGAAGCTTCGGGCCCACGACGGAGGGGCGCCGGCCAAGTTGATAAGCCCGGCTTCGGGGTCACCGGCGCGCATTATGAGCCGCTCGGTGGATGGGTGGACGACACTCATGACTGTTCTTCGTTCGTTCGGGAGATTATCGACGAGACTCGGCTACGCGGGGACGCTCAGAAGACATCGCGGAGTTTCTGCTGCTACACGCGGCGCTCAGAACAATGTCTAGGCGGCATCAGACTTATGTTAGAAGTCGCCGAAACGGCAGAGTCCGGACCCCGACGGCGACAAACCCAGGGTCCTTCGCTGCCATAGCGCAGACACGGACCTCAAGATGAGGGAGGACGTAGACCAGCTGACTCGATCCGGCTTGGCTCAAGTTCGACTAAAATGGTGAAAACGAAACTAAAAAAAAAAACGACCAACCTTTGCGTGAGTACAAATCATCGTTAGTAAAAAGATCCTGCTAAAAAAATTTAAATTAAGATTGGAATAATAATGTTATTTTTATTTAGAATCACGAACTTACGTAATACACTTATAAAATATTTTTAAAAAGCCCCAAAATAGTTATGTTGATGACGATGACATTGGTTCTAGTTGTAGCTTATAAATCCAAATCCAGATCTGGGCTGTCTAGAAGTTGCCAGTTGCCTGCCTGCCTGCCTGCACCCTCTCATGTCGTAAACGCTGGTAATGTTTACATCAAAATTATCAGAGCCGCAATAGTAAAGCAAAATTCAGACATAGCCATGGCTGAAGGAGATGACATCGGTCTATACCTAGACGAAGAGAGCGACAGTCTAAAAGAACTGTTTGCCGCCGCGACCCAGCACGTCCAAAGTAATACCGGGCTCTTGAGCACCGATCATCTTCTCTACCTTTACGCCAGATACAAGCAGGTATGAAGACAGTAAATTTCTCAACAAGTTCATCTCTTCCTTGCGTTCAACTGACAAGAGTGCAACCTATTTTACTTCATTTATTTTACGTTTCTAGGCGCACGAAGGATCTTGCAAGGCGCCCAAGCCCGCGTTCTACGACATCAAGGGAAAACAGAAGTGGTACGTGAGCGTATGCTGTTCGTAAAGCCATCTGTGATAAATGAGAAGCACGGGACACTTTTTTGTTTTAACGTTTTGCTATACCTCCGTCTTAGGGACGCATGGAATAAGCTGGGCGATCTGTGCGAAACGTCAGCCATGCGCGAGTACGTGGAGCGGGTGGAGCAACTTTTTCCCAACTGGAGCAAGGTAACTGTTGTAAACTACTACAGTGATACACTAAGCAAAGCAGTGGTGTGACTTCCGTTGCAAGGTTTCTCTGCTGCCATTCTTAAAAAAAAAAAAAAAAAGTGAAAGCCCCCACATTCAGGAACAGCTAAGATTCACATTTCGTAGTCAGCATTAGCATCATACCAGCTCTGTAGAACTTTACACGTCTGAAACACTAGGACGTTGCTGTCAGACTGCATTCATGACTGGAACATGGATACCAGAAACCAGGAGCACCTCTCAATACAACTGGGCATACACAACCAATTGTTCACACAAAAAGGTGTTCACATCAGTGACCTCGTTTTCGAGTTTATTGCCCATAATTCGCTTGGTAATGCTGCAGAGGCCTTGTCAAGTCAAACTTTTAACTTTTTCCCCCACAGCCTACATCAGTTTTTGATATGAAATAAAGGATTGGTTGATTGACTGAATCCCGTCATGCACAAATAGTCCCTTAGCGCAGAGGCGTGTGAACTGGAGGTTAAAACCTCCTACGGGGGGCTGCAAAATAATGTTCAGAGATAGCAGCATTTTTAAAGGGATACTGAACCGAAATTCCAAGCTTATAAAACAAGGCTGGAGTGATAGGCGGGACGCTGCAAAACCCAAAACATCACTCATACAGCAATATCTCTAACGGATGGCTGTATTTCTGGAAAAGAAGTGCATAACTGAACACAGCCGACGAGACATGTGACATCTCGATTCTCATTCCCTCTTCATCCCCTTGAACAGGTGAACCGAAGTGAGGAGGATTGAAGCAATTCCGCTGCCCGTCATTCTCAACTGTTCCAGAAGGATAGTGACGTCACAGTCCTCGCCTGATCGCACCCTTCTTTTCCAAAAAGACGGCCACCTGTTCGAGATATCGATGTATGAGTGATGTTTTGGAGTTTGTAGCGTCCTGTTCAACGCTTCTGCCACCTTATTTTGCAGAATCCATATTTCGGTTCAGTCTCCCTTTGCTAATATGCCTTTGCATTGCAGGATGTATTCGCCACTTTATGTTGTCCAAGTGATAGTCTTAGTGAGCAGTTGTGCATACTATCCCAAACTATGAATGTTTGTTACCAGCTACGAGTGTGTTCCAAGTGCATACCGACAGTTGTTTCTAGTTCTACGAACCTATAACTTACCGCTTGCAGGAGCAAGGAGGAGAAGCGAAAGCAAGGACATCGATGGGACCTGTCATGAGCACATTGCAGCACAGTGATGAGGTAACACCGAGGAGGCACAGGGAAAAAAGAAAGGGCGGAATTTCTCGCTACAATTTCCAACCACCAGGAACCGGCCGTCGCGAACGAATGCAAAGATGCATTCGACTGGGTCAAAGAGAACAATCTGGCGCGGTTGCGAGAGTGCCTGGAGTCTGAAAGCAGGCCGCTGGATGCACCAGACAACGAGGTACACTCCTTTTCATGCTTGAAAACCGCCACGACATGCGAGCGCGCAAGCGTTGCATGCATTTTGTGCGATAAAAACTAACGGTGTATGCAGGGGTTGACGCTGCTGCACTGGGCTTGTGACCGGGGACACTGGGATGTTGCCAAACTGTTGTTGGACTTCGGAGCAGACATTCACGCCCAGGTAAGCACCTAGTGTTTTTATAGCTTTTGTTACAGGTTGGTAACAAACTAGCACAGTCACCTTCTTTTTTTTTTTTAATAAAAGGTTTGGTTAAGGTGACTTTTGTAGACGCCTCACAAATTTTCCTTATATTGCATCTTTTCGGAACAAAGTAATGTATGTTCATAAATGCGCTTTGCATGAAGACATTATGTCGAATATTTTCTTCTACTACTATGACATGACTTTAACCCAGACTTGTACATGTTACTGAAAAATAGTAAGGAATTTCATTTATAATTACTTAAGGCTAAATTGCAATTTATTACAATTACCCTCCCATGAAAGTAACTGACTGTTACCCCAAAAAGTTATCCGTTACTTTCAACATTATTGCCCTCAAGTAAGAAACAAAAAGAAGAGGGTTACTCAAGTTCTTATTGTTGCAACCTGTTCCATTTAATGACCTTGAGTATTTTGAGCAACAGCTGACTCTTGAAAGTCTCGTCGGACATTTTCCGTTTATGTCGACTGCTACGCTGAACACACTCCGAACTGAAGCATTGGATGGGAGTGCCATATTTTTTCTCATTAATGCTTTATGCTCTTCAGCAAAGCAAAGAAAGTACTATTTACCTCGAAGATAGAGCAAAGCTTCGTCGTTGCAGCCGTTGCAGCAAACGGCGGGGTGTCGGGTATCGTTATCATAGTCATCGGACCGATCTACTAAAATTCTCCATTGTCTAAATCGCGAAGCTGTGGAAGGCATCATACATCTAGCCAAAACTAGAATAAGAATTGATTTATGTCCATCTTACTATACTGACATATATTGCCAGACAATAACAAAACATTGTTGTAACAGTAAGGTGATAATTAAATAATAAATAAGGTTTGGCTCGATATTCCTCTTCCTTTGGTTCTGAACAGGTCGAGCCTCGGTTGAGACATTGGTGAATAAAAAAAAGTTTCCAGTATATAAATAAGAGAAAAAAGGACACTCACAACAACAATTAATTAGAACGTCGGTTAAAACAAGGAAATGTAAATGCACGTTTGCCGTGTGTACCTTCCTTGGTGCCGTTCAAAAACGCACAGAGAACGAACCGACTGCAGTTTACTCCGGTGTTTTCCAGATACGTCCGCTGATGCCACGGGCAGTGAAGGGCAGAGTACTAAGTAAGCCACGCTATGGCCCTACTCATGAGTTTCACTCTCTCCCCAAGCTCAGAATATTAAGTCTACGTCAGCCACCATTATGTTTTATTTGTAAAAATATGCTTGAGATAAGATGTTCCGCTGGGGCAAAACAGGAAGAAGAAAGGAAGACTATTACCGTTTTTCAAATGCTCGCAAAAGGCTGACTCACAAAAAAGGTGACTGAGATGCGGTTAACGTGGCTGGAATTCACAAATAAAGTGGGCCAACCCTAGAAGTTTGACTACAAAGGAGTAAGTAACTTTTAAAACAAGGTCATATAATGTGAAAAATGCAGAAAAAAATACATCCCGTTTTCTAAAAGAAGACGAGAAGTGTGTAGCAACGAACGAGGATGCTTGTGGCAATACACCTTTACATATTATCACATCTCTTTTAGTGGATTTTAGGGTAGACTGAGCGTTGTCTCGTGTTGTGGCATTATGAAAATGGTCGTAGTCACTATTGGCGACGTGCGCGACCAAAAGCGTCGCTGTGGTCGGGCTTCCACTATTGGCCGAACGCTGACTATGACTTCAGAAAAGGATTCATCATCGCCGGAAATAAGAGGAATGAAAGAACTTTAATTTTGACGGTGTAGGCAGTGTTCCTTTGAGAGCGCAATGATTTCAATCTTCCACCGTGCTATTTACAAACACCATCAAACTTGTTGTTTGTGAGGTAATGACGTCACAAGGGTGAACCATAGGTGGGCACCACCAAAACATCTTGCCGCTAATAACCGAGGACATTGTTAATTCTTTTCTGTGCACTTACCGCCTCAATCTTCTCGAAGGGGCACACAATCACTTGGTGTGCTCCTCTCCCTGTCTTCGATCCCAAAGAAAGAACAAAGGGTTTTTCGACATTGTTGTTAGGGTCTAAAAAATAATAGATTCAGTGGTTTGGTGTTGCAAAAAAAAAAAAGGCTTTGCAGAACTGAAGAGAGCCAAGCCTCCCTTTGCGCTGGTCAATTCGCATGACAGTGTCACTGCGCTCAACTTTACCAAAATAAAAACCCTTTCTTTAAAAAAAAGGGGGGGGGGGGGGTTCGTCCTGAAGAAAAATGTAACAGATTACAAGGAATCCGTTACGTAAAAATTGTGAGGGAATTACTTTAAAACTACTCTTAAAAGTATATTATTATAATGTTACTAAATTACTGATAAATGTAAGGGGCTACAAGTAATTTCGTTACTTGTAATGGATTACGTACAAGTCTGCTTTGGCCATTACCAATTAGAAATTTTTAACCAAGAGCACGCACAATGCTTGGTCTATTTTTTTTTATGTTGGTAAGTTTTTTGCTTTGTTTTAACTAACCCACCCCACAAACTGTTTGCATTGAACTCATTGCAGGACCAGGAGGGACAGACGCCACTGCACTACGGTAAGCATGGACCTGGGCATTCAATCGGTACATGGGAAAATAGCCGAAAACAGCTACTGGGGCAATAGGATTGAATTGTGTATCTTTGTCCTCCGACTTTTTATAGATGGTGCCACACTTTTTAAGAAGTAGAACATGGTGAACGATTAGAGGAATGGTGACTAAAATCAAGGGACGAAGAGAGATTTAATTTGATTAAATTGGCTGTGACATAATTTAACCTGGAGCTAAAAATACTATCCAAACAAGTGGAGCAAGCCACTGCCCACTCCAAAGGGAACATCCATCATGCATCCATTCGTCTATCCAACCAACACATTCACATTCCATTCTATTATATTAGAACTCACCGTGTCGGCAACAGTTCCTTTTTAACCCTAAACACAGTCTTTGTAAGAGTTTTGCGAAAAGTGCACGTTCATCAGTTTTGCCACTGCCATTTGCGACCGGTATTCAGCGTCTTCCTGCGGCCACCTGGACATTGCCCGGCTCCTCCTGGAGAGGGGCGCCCTGCTGGAGACGAGAGACAGTGAGGGCCTGACACCGGCACAGGTGGCACTTGACCCCGGCCTGCAGCGCCTCTTATCCGTCTGATACCCAGCATGAAAAACCAGCTGCCACAACACTGCTAGCATCCAGGCAAGTTGTCGTCCAAGACGCCTACCAATAGGAAAAACCCAACGTTGTCGGGGAGATGGGTGAACAAAATTAATTTTTTCTTTCAACAGAAATCTTAGTAGTATAGTAGGAGCAAAAGGCTGCAACAAGCTCATCTTAACAAGACGTCAGCTTCGAGGTGGCAGTTGTCAGCCTTGAGCAGCTGTCGAAAAGAAAGTGAAGGAGGCCAAGAGGAGACTGGGAGGAAGGAATGCAAAGAAAATCAGCTTTAACTATGTATAGCGGATAAAGACAGGAAATGAGGAAAGAACATTGGTTCAATAATTCAAAGAAGAGTCTGTTGTTGTTTGAGGCCAGAACGGGAGTATCGAAAACTAGGGCATTAATGGAAAAGTATGGGAGGAAGGAATGCAAAGAAAATCAGCTTTAACTATGTATAGTGGATAAAGACAGGAAATGAGGAAAGAACATTGGTTCAATAATTCAAAGAAGAGTCTGTTGTTGTTTGAGGCCAGAACGGGAGTATCGAAAACTAGGACATTAATGGAAAAGTACGAAGAATTGGAGAGGCGGTGTACCGTTTGCCAAGTGGGAGTGCACAGGGCTTACTTCTGCCCCCCCCCCCCCCCCGACGGGATGACGGATTTGGCCGGAGCGCTGGGGTTTGTATATGAGAATGGAGGGATGGGTGGAAAGGTCATCACAATGAGGTGTTTTCGTCGACATAATTCCGTTACCATTTTATTGTACAAGCTGTCTGGTGTGTGCTGAAGGCGAGCATTCGAAGGATTCAGATGATCCCTCAGATACATTAAACTCTCAATTGAACGAAGTTCGAGGGACTCAAGGAAATATTTCACTTAGCTGAAAGTTCACTGAACTGAATATATTCACTAGAATATGGAACAGCATAGGGCACAGCACACATCCAAGTGAAAAATATGAAATTCATTTTATGGAGTTATGTACATTGATATATTGAAAGTGCATAAGAGTTACATTGCTGCCTTTCTCATTTTGAAAAAAAAATGTGTAATTTTCATTTGCACTGGTGCTCTTAAAGCGCATGAAGTAACAAAGCTGTCCAGTGTGTTTTTTTGCACTTCCTCTGGCACAGCTTGTTGCTGTAACGAAGGCATACCAGAATGGCATCGTCCACTGGCTTGAAATATCCTGTGCAGAGTCGTTTCCTGTTGGGATTGAATGCAGTTTCTCCTTCAAGCCTTGACCCTTGTCCTATAACGAAGAGGAGATTAGAAGACTAGTGGAAATTATCTAGAAAGAATTGGAGGACGTATGAATAACTAGCACAGCTGGGGACAGGCACGACAGAGGAAAATTGGGACTCCCTCCTGCGTGGCTCTGGTCCAGTCTCAAAGGGCGCAATGTTACGGTGGCGCCGACAAGGGAAATCGACGACTCCCTCACTAGAAAGAGAAGGCAAAAATTGTTGTTTTTTTCTTTTTTCGTTTTTTTAAGGGTTATTTTGGCATTATTCCACACCTCCTCGTGATGGTTCCAAAAAGACATCAGGGAGGGAAATTAGCGGGGAGGAAAAATTCAGTGATGTGATTGCTGCGCCATTTGCACCAAACTGTGCCTAAGTCTTTACCCTGCTACGTCCTGCTACATTTTACCATAATGTGAGAAATTTGCACCAACATTGCTCCAAAACTTCATTTCACTTTAGTTAATACCAATAATATAATAGCTCAGTCCTCGCTACACGGCTGGAGCATTACAATAGGCTTATTCGAGTTTTCAGGGCTTTTTGATTATCGCCTCAAACAATGCACTATTCAATTGCATTTCATATCAGACTGAGAGTACTCGGAAGTTTCGCAATAAGTCTCGTGTTCGTGGTCTATTCTGGTGGGTCAGTTAGGAAGTGCGCTTCTCGCCGCGCAGTGGTGTGCTGCACAGAAGCGGCAACCGTAAAGTAGGCATCGCGGTTTTGCATGTCTTGCTTCGCTGCAGCGCACCCGCGTACTAAGGGGAAAACACTCGTGCAAAGCGAGATGCGACATAATTTCTGAATAAAACTTCAGCTTGACTTTTTCGATGTATACAAATCCACAGCCCAGCGTGAGATTGTCACAGCCCAGCACGTAGGGGCTCGTGTCTTCCGAAAGCGAGGAAGACACGCGCCATACACACAAACTCTGAAGAGGGCGCTTGTCTGAAGCTTTTTAGTTGAAACTGCAGTATTGTTGAAACGCTGGACGACATATTTGAGTCTGCTATTTTTAGCGGATACTCGGAACGAGCTCACATTAATAGGCTGCTGAGACAGGCAATCGTGATGGTTTGCAGTGCATGGGTAAAAGAATTGTGGATGCCCACTTCGCGTACGTGCTCAGCAGTCGGGCACACAGCTATTAGCGGCGAGATGTTTTGGTGGTGCCTTCCTACTGTTCCCTCTCGTGACGTCATTACCCGGTGAACAAGAAGTTTGAGGGTGTTTGGAAATGGGCACCGTGGAAGTTTGAAGTCATTCCAATCTGAAACAACACTGCCAACACCGTCAAAATTAAAATTCTTTATTCACTGATTACCCCGCAGTGCCCGAGGGCGTTACAGCAGGCGGGTTTACAAGGATGAAAAGAATGCGTCTTCATTGAAACAGCACACTTGCTCGTCAGACAGCCGATTCCACTGTGCAATTGTTCGTACAAAAAAGAAATTTTAGTCGCAGTTTTTCCCGACGTACGGAAAGTGGTTCCCAGTGTAACATTTTTTTCATTTCTGTACAGCTTTCTTTCCTCCCGTATCGTCCAAGAACAAACCTAGCCGCCCTGTTTTGTATTTTCTCCAGCTTATCAATCAATGTTTTTTGGGCTGGGTCCCAGACAGCACATGCATACTCTAAAATGGGTCTAACACATGTTAAATAAGCAGTTGTCTTTAAGTTAGGTTGTGAGCATTTTAAGTTACTTTGGATAAAATTCATTGCCCTGCCAGCTTTTAAGACTACTTCTTCTATGTGGGCATTGCATGAACAGTCAGATGACAATATGACACCTAAGTATTTGTACGTAAGTTCCTTGGTTATAGGGTTATGATTTATAAAACACTGAGATTCAATTTGTTTCCTTTTCTTTTTAAAACAAAGGTTAACACACTTTTTGTGATTTAAATTCATTTTCCACGTAGAGCACCAACTGTGAATACGATCAAGGTCTACTTGCAACTGGGCGACATCATCTGAACTCTTAATCTTTCTATACACTACACAATCATCAGCAAACAGTGGAATACAAGAGGAAATTCCAACAGAAATATTATTAATATAAATTAAAAACAAAAGTGGACCCAGGACAGAGCTCAGTGGAACTCCTGATGTTACATCAACGTAATCGGATTTCTGGCCATTCAGTACTACTAGTACTAATTCTTACGTTACTCTTATTTCTGTCAAAAAAAAAAAATTTGTTGACATTATGTTAGTTTTTGGCCAATAGGGAAAAGTCGAATATAGCGACGCTTTTGATTATGCACATCACCAATATGGCTGCCAGTGAATATTTCACGAGAGACTGCGATATCCTGGCGGCATCTTTTTTTTCAATTCGAGATTTCGCAAGGATAACTCGGTATTACAAGTAGATTTACAGGGACTCTTCTGTAGGTGTATTCTTTATGATTTGTTTCTATCTGATTAAGAATCGCTGTGTTATAACAACCTCTAAAATTTGAAGAAAACATAAATTTCTTTTTTTTGCGTTATTGTATTCTAAGATTATTTCAGTGGGACTTCATACCTAAAATTAACATTTACGGCAGTTTGCGCTGTTCTTTATCAGTCATCATCTTGCTGCCTCGTCTGCTGGTACTACACACAACTAAACAATAATTCTGTTGTTTTTTTTTGGAAAAGGGGGGGGGGGGGGGGGGCATTCCTGCTGTGCAATCGATGCTAACAAAAGGTTACACATAACTGAGATGGCAAAGTAGACAGTGCCTTTTAGTTGGGCAAGCCACCACATGAATCTTAATATAATATTTACAGTGAAATGAATGAAGATGAAGTGTGCGCGTTTGCTCCAAAACTTTCTTTTGACTGCTCCAAGGGTTGCTTCAAAATTACTCGGGCCAATCACATCACTGAAAATTATACTTTTGGTTTCTAGGCTAGGTGGCAGAAGCTACTGCCCAATATTCAGGGTACAGCCATTAGCATCTATCCATCCAACCATCCACCATTCTAATGTTTAGAGAATCACAGCCCAGCACCCGTGTACTCGTCAATTTAAAAAGGAAGCAGAGCATTTGCCATGCGCACAAATGCTGAAAATGGCAGTGGCCAGAAGCCCATTTCTGGAGTGTACACAAAGTTTCTTGCCCAACAAAAAAAATCCTGAAAATGGCAGTGGCCAGAAGCTTGGGTTTGGAGACTGGTCTATAATTAGGGTTCTGTCAATTCAGATTTATCCAAAAAACTAAATTTCGAGGCTACAATGGCAAACTAAAAAGCAAAAAGACAGCGTCTTACACTTAAACTTTATAAGAGCACAGGGTCAGAGGTCCTGAGGAGATGCCACTTCAGTTTCTTTCAAAATCTCAAACCATTGACGAAACGTTTTTGCCTTTTAGCTTGTCAAGGTTCCTTCAGGACAATGGGTCACGATACCCATACTTGATTTTTGTTTATGAATTTTTAAGCATAGAGAACACAGAAAAATAAGCTAAATTTTAGAAAATTGTGTACCTTACAAAAATAAACTTCAATAAATTCCAAAATTTCAGCAAAAAGTAAACTAAACAAAACACCAACCTCCAAAGTTCACGAGAAATAAACTCCGAAAACACAGAATCCTGTCTATAACATACACAAAGTTTCTTGCACTGTAAATAAGAGCTGTTTGCTCAGCATACATATAAGAATAGGTATTTATCTCAGCCCACATCAAGCCATTTTCCGCCTGCCCCTTGCTTAGTGCTTGTGTGGGAACGAAGTAGAAAGGAGAGGAAGAAGCAGAAGGAAATGAGGGAACTTCTGCCAGGCAGAAATCCCTCCTCTTGGAGGTCAACCTCTAAACGTCCAAGGACAGGAGAATAGGCATGCTTATCATCCATGCTGGTTGAGTATGAGACAATAGCTGCAATCAATTTACCCACACCTTCTGCACTGGTGTAGAAAAGTGTAGGGCAGTACTTCCGGTATGTGCATAGAGATACGACCGGAAGTACACCACGCTACACTTTGTTCCATCGGTGCGGGGAGTACAGGTGGTGTCAAACTTTATGAACAATATGATGCCCTGTCAAATGGAAAGAAGCTAATGTGTATGTTGCCCCGAGGCAGAGGTTGTGGTAGAATTGCTTTCCAAAGGAACTCGGAGGCAGGGTTTCAGAAAAGGAGGTCATGATATTTAATATACGCTAACATGAACAAATGAGTTAACATAATAAGAAGTAACACACGACCATACATTGCCACACCCTATAGATTGCAAGCAAGGCAACTGGCTGCCGTCATGTCTCTGCTTGTGCGGGAAAGCCCGTGCAATTTCAAGCTTGCGAAATAGGGCGCCATGGTTGCAAATGTCTATACCAGGAGGTCCCGTTTGCCGAGTTTGATGGTCCCTCTCTAAATGGAACCATGCTGCAGGCATGCACCCCAGCTACTGGACTTAAACGGTTTAGTCCAAATGTCGTCAGGATGTGTGATGAAGCGAGTGCCTGGTAAAGTTTCAAATTGGAAATTTTGAGGTTTGGTATTAATCATGGCTCTTTGTGGGAAAAAGAGCTTGAGGCAGTCATGGAGGTTGGAACAACAGTTAGGCATCAATTTATTTATTTTAAAAGAATTCTGGAACCTTTATCAGCAAAACACAGAAGGTAGATGAAAGACATTTTTCAGTCAAAGACAGACAAATGTAATCCCATGGCTCTCACGTCTTTTCTTTGGTGCCTTCTTTTATCGACATTTTCTTTTTTAATGCGTTACTGACTAGCTCAAGTCCACACATGACTGCAACCACTTGCCAGAATCAGCCCCCCGAGCATTGCAAACATTCCTCCGTCCACAGCTTGTCACACAATTGTTGCATTACGAGATGACAGGAGCTCTTAGTTGTTTCACAACTGCAGGTACGAGGACATGGCCCGCGATTCCGGTCGAACCTCGGCGGTCCTTCTTGTGTCTCCGTCACCGGTCTTCAATGACCGCCTCATCCCAGGGTCCATGAATGTTCCTGAGCAAAAAAAGGAACAAGGTCCATCGCTGTGCTGCGGTACTTCAGCTGTCACAGGGTCTTCAAGATTCTGCCACCTTCCACTCTTGGCAGACAGCTCACTTACATAGAACTAAATAGGTAGCTCCAGAGAAAGCTTGCTCCGGCTCACTAAACAGACGGATAAAGAACTTGAAGACCCATTCACGCACTTGCATTGGCTTACAAAGGAGTTCTTGTGATCTCTTACGATGAAATAACACACTGGCACCATCTATCAGGTGACCTTGGAACTGAATTTCACTAGGGCAAAGGTTTTTCAATATTTAAGGCAGTGATGTGATTGCTGTGCCATCTGCACCAAACTCCACTAAAGTACTTATCCCTATCCATCCTGCCATAATGTGAGGAATTTGCACCAACATTGCACCAAAGCTTAATTTCACTTTAAATGATACCAAAAATATAATAGCTCAGGCCCCGCTACCTGTTTGGATTATTACGATAGGCTCATGCGACATTTCAGAACTTTTGGTTATCGCCTCAAATAACCTACTATTTGATATGGTTTTCGTAGCAAAGACTGACAGTACTTAAAAGTTTTGCAATAATTTTCATGTTCGTGGTCTTTTCTGGTTGGTTATAGTTTCGTTGAGTGCGATTCTCATCGTGCACTGGTGTACTGCAGAAACGGCAACCGCGAAGTAGGCATCGCGATTTTGCGTGTCTTGCTTCGCCGCAGTGCACGCCATGCTAAGGGGAAAGCTCTCCTCCAGAGCGAGACGTGGCACAATTTCTGCATAAAACTTTGGATTGTATACACCTGTTCGATGTATACAGATCCACAGCCCAGCGTGTGATCTTCACAGCCCAGCACGCACATGCTTGTCTCTTTGGAAAGCGAGGAAAACACGTGCCATACACAAACTCTGAAGGGGGCCACTTGCTTGAAGCTCTTTATTGAAACGGTCCGACACCATATTTGAGTACGCTATTTTTAGCGGGTACTCGAAACAAGCTCACATTAATAGGCTGCTAAAGCCGGCAATCTTGATGGTTTGGAATGTACACTCGGCGTAGAACCTATCTAGAGAGTGCGGGAGCGGTGCGCTTCGGACTCTGCGTGCGACATCTGCCGGCGGACGCTGGGCCTAAGATACCGTGCCTCTGAGCATGCACCGCCATTGTGCGGCGCCGGGCAGATACCAACGTTTGTGCTAACCCATCTCCACACTCTCCAGGCCACCAGAGGAGCGCTTGGTGCCTCCAGGCTGCAAAATCAAGTCGCTCGGTGTGGCGGCCCAAGCGCTGCCGCATTATAGCGCCTTCTTACGAGAGGGATTAAGCCGCTGAACCTGCGAGCTTGCTTTTGTCGGATAAAAACAAAGTGAGCCTGAAAGTGGCTCAATGTGGTCCTATCCGCTACTGAATCTATGTGGCACATCACATGCTTCAGCATGAGCACTTAAAATAATTTTCTCACAAGACCTTTTTTTTTTTTCGTTCATCTCGTTTTTTTTTTTTTTTAATTCTTGCTCTAAACCAAAGCCATGAATTAAAATATTTTCATGAAAACCCAAGTGTCTTGCGACATGCTCTATATTAGAAGATTCATTCAGACATAAAATATTTCAATTGGTAGCGTCGGTGTTGCTTGCACTTGCGGCAGGAAGCTTTAAGGAACGAAATAATTTTAGTGCCAGAACCACGTTCATTACCGTTGAATCACAAGCCGCGTTGTGTTCTCATTGTAAAAGCAATTTATCGAAAGAGCGGAGATAACAAGCACTTGAATTGGTAGCAGTGAGGAAGCATTACACACAAGCAAGAAAATGTGCAGCTTTGTGCGCACACCATCAGCAGTTTTTCACGTGAGTATGAAAGCAAGCACTCGAGTTCAGCACCTTAATTCCTCTTTGAAGAATGCGCGATAATGTGGAGTCGGCGGCGCGTGGGCCGCCACACCGAGCGCCTTGATTTTGCAACCTGCAGGTGCCGAGCGGTGCTCTGGCAAATGGCGGAGTTTGCAGAAAGGTCAGCACAAACGTTGGCATCTGCCTAGCGCCTCTGAGCATGCACGTTATCTCAGGCCCAGCGTCCGCCACCAGATGTTGTATGCGCAGTCCGGAGTGCACCGCTCCCGCGCTCTAGTCAGATTTGATGCCGAGTGTATGTGGCATAAAGACTGTGGAGGCTCACCGTTGGCACGTGCTCAGCAGTCGTGCACACAGCTATGGCCGCCAGTGAATACTCCCTTACGATACTTCAGGGATACCTGTGGTCCTCACATTTATTTGTTTTGTTCCAACATGAACGCGAGAAAACCGTCAAGTTGTGTGGTCCACCTGCGGACTACGTTCAGTGTGTCTTTAAGTTCAAACGGCTGCCTGATCGTTCGAACTGTCGTCTGCTCTTTCAAACATTTCTGCTTGTCGTCTGCTCTCTTAGACGACGCCGGCCCGCAGACCAAATGATGTCCCGGTACTTGCAATAAGAAGTAAGTGCAGGCCTCAAAAGACTTCAATTTGAAGGTTGGTAAGCAGGTTCGATGTAAACAGTAGATATATGAAGATGTTGATCATTGTTAACAGTGACCATCACCGACTTGTTATGCCCAATTCACTTGGTCCGATTCTGCTTGCGATTTTCAGTATCGACGTCGACCATCTCAGCTCCGGTTCACGCTTTTGCAGCCCGAGCAGCGTTGCAACTGAAACTTGCGAGCGAAATCTCATCAAGCGAATCAAGCATTAGCGTACATACTGCGGCTTCCACGCAGAATGAATCGCCGCAAGTCAGATTATTCACGCGAAGTTTTGCGGTGTATCGAGGCCTCGTTAATTTCGCTGACGCCGCTCAAGTAGTCAGACATCGTTAAGAGGACGTAGAATCGACAATTCGAACGCGAAAAAGAGCAGGCGGACTCACACCGACGCCGACAACATCGCATTTCAATGGTTTGTTTATGGGCGACGGCGAGCTTCCTGCCCACACCCCCATTGCACATGCGCGGCGCCGGTGGCATCCGCTAGGGGAGCTCTGGTTTGTTTGTAAACATGAGTTGGTGTATAACATCGTCAAAAATTGTTCAAGCCAAAAAAAAGGATGATGCACGAAAAAAAATGTATGGAAATCCCTGGTGTTCCACGGCTGCCCCTGAGGTGGCGCCACCGTGTCCTCTTGTCGCATGAGCTTTTAAGAGGTTTTAACACACTCAATCATGAGTAGTTGCAAATGTGTGAACCAGCCTTAACTCTTGAGATTTCTATTTGCAACGTTACTTCTTGCGAACAGCAACTCTTATCACACGGAAAAAGGTAAGAAGCCGCAGGTACATGTACCGTGTGACAAAGTATGTCACGATTTACCGTAGGTAATGCAAGAATAGGGTAAAGACCGACGGCGACCAAGTACCAGAGAGCCGTAGAGAGAAATCGGAAGAGAAAAGAGGGAATACACACTGCCTCAGCCGGTGGCAGTGCACAAAGTGGCAGGGTAGCAGCAGCCCCACGCAAGCCAAGACGACCAGCAGGACAGGATGTCCACACCCTGCTAGAGCCACACCCACGTGACCGACAGTCAGCGCGACCTGCACCCTGTGCCAGCGGCCCTGTTGCCACGCAGAGAGAAAAATTGTGCAGTCTTTGATATGTCGGAAAGAGGGTTCCACTTCTTCCAGCTTACCGTAAAATACCGCAGAAGCGCCCACTATTGACATTTCCCAAGCCTGAAAATTTAGCAAACTATACGTTAAGCGCTCAATTTGACCAGACAAGCGCCTTTGCCTAGGTTAACCCAGTTTTCAGTGGAAGTGCGGTGGGCATTTGCCCAGTATTTTACGGTATTCTCGACTGATGGCAGACTTAGACACCTGTATTGCAGGGCTACTCGTATCCGGAGGTTCATCCGGGGCTCTCACTCTTGGCGGGCGGGGGGGGGGGGGGGGGGGAGGAGGAGGAGGAGGAGGAGGAGGAGGAGGAGGAGGAGGAGGAGGAGGAGGAGGAGGAGGAGGAGGAGGAGGAGGGGAGGAGGGGAGGGGAGGGGAGGGGAGGGAGGGAGGGGAGGGGCTGTTACAAATTTTAGGGTTAGTACAGTCGACACCGGTTATAACGAAGTCGGTTTTAACAAAATAGTGGCTACAGCGAAGCGATCATGGTTTCCCATTCCCGTTTGCACTTTTTCAATGCATTTGTGTCTGTTTTTAGCAACGGAAATTGATAGGCTCCCGTGGATATAGCAAAGAAAAGTTTTGTGATAATTTAAAAAATAATAAAAAGTTCACCAAGTCTCAGACCGCCGCACTTATGCTGCCACGGCCGAGCAACCATTCAGAACGGGTCACAGGCGATGCTGCTAAGGCCACCGGCGGCAGCCTCTGCATCGTTGTCTGCTCCTCGCTCCTTATCTGGGACGCAACCTTTCTGCATCGCAGCGAAGAAGCCGTTGTGGCATGCCAATAGGGGCGTTCAGAGCGCTAGCGACAACGTACCGGCAAAGATAATGGAGAGAGCCTAGGTTTAAGAGAGGGAGCAACTCAAACCATCTAGAGCATTTGCAATTTAATAGCAGACGCCTCCTGGGCAGATTGATGCAAGTATGCACGAATTTGGTTGTTGCGTGGCCGGTGTGGCAAGGAAACTGGGTGGAGAGGTGGACATGTTTGCAGAAGGTGAACGCTTTAGAGTTTTGACTCCTTACATGCTTCAGCTCGTTTTGCAAACGCGGCCCACAATCCACTACCACTGTAGAGCAATTGCCCCTTCTCTTAAATCTAGGCTCTCTATACTGAAGAAAGACGAGCTTGTGAGCAAACTTGGTCTCCGTGCTGTGCGTGCTTTGTTTGCTTTGTGTTCCATGTTGGCACCGCTGGCTGGTCTGGTCACACTTGCGCGAAAGTCTAACTTCGCTCAAGCACCGAATCGGCGAATCATCACCACTCAACGATGGAGAGTCCCCGCACCGCCGGCATCTCGACGGTGTGGGAATTAAAATAGGGAGGATTACGCACCTTTATGTCTGGGGACTGGTCCAGTGCTCAAAGGGGAAATCTGATGCCCGTCCCACCGTGCGGCCGACGGCTACCAGCGAGGGCGGTCGCCACGCCGGGTTCGGCCAACGCCATGCCAACAACGATGATCCAGGTATCCAACAGCGTTTATTGAGTACCAGGGGTCCCCAACAAGACACTGCGGTCAAGTGAGCCGCCGCGGGCACAGTGTGCCCGCATTGCCCGTCGACCTGAGAGCCAAAGGGGTGATTGCGAGCGGAGTCATTGCCGGTCGGGCGAGCTCACGCCGCTACCCGTCGTCGCAAGAGTTCAGGGCCAGGGCTCTCGGCAGACGGACGTCCACAGGTTGTGGGGATGCCGACCGTCAGAACCAGGGGAATCGCTAGCGTGGAGTCATCGCCGGTCAGACGAGCTCGCGCCGTGACTCGACCCGTTGCCCGGAGTCCTATCCAGGACTCCTCGACCACACGGCCGTTTACTCGGAGGGCAGGCCCAACTCTCCCTCGCGCGATGTCACTGTTTCCCCGAAATCGGGGAGACGCGCGGAGGATTGCGAGTAGGTCAGTATGGTGAGGCAGTCTCTCCGACACGATACGGAGCGACCGGGCTCGAAGTCAGACGGCTTCGCCTGGAACGGCCTCAGCTTACGCCTTCTCGGGGGAGGGAAACCAGTGGCTCCCACAATCCCCCCCTCCTTAAAACATTTGGCACCCCTTTCAAAGAAAGGGGCGCCGGCTCTCAAACCCCCAAAATACAAAACCTGCACGCTGACAACACGGGTGCCAGTCGCGCTTACAAATACAAGATCTTGATTCGGGGGCCCCGGCAGCCCCCAGAACCGCCACCGTAAATGCAAAAATGTTCCAAAAGCCGGGATTCATGATTAAAAGAACAAATCCCTCAGACTTGCATAACAATACCAGCAGTTATCAGACGTTTCGTCTCCTATACGGGAGACATCATCAGTGCGGCCTGGGAGCATCCGACTAGCTACCAGAAATCCAACGCTTCTTTTCCTTCTCTTCATCCGTAGCGCTGGTTCTGCCGACTTCTTCGTCGATGGCATACGGGAGACATTATCATCGTCTGCACTCGCTTCAACTTCTTTTTACGTCCGTCCTGGATGGGAAGTTAAATTAAAGGTTTTTTCATGATGTCGGTGTACACGTCAGGGAGGGGGCCGCGGTTATATTTGCAGTCGGCAGATGGGTCACTGCGAATACACCATGATTCCAGAAATCTTCTAGGGCCCCACCGTTGTTCGCGTGCCAGGGTCACAGCATTTGCAAGGTCAAAAGTGTGACCAGTCGTCCAACAATGGTCCACCAGTTCAGTTTTTGATGTTGTGGCATATGTTGCCATCTCCACGTCTCTTTTGTGCTCTTCGAGGCGGGTACTCCGTTTGCGGCCAGTAAATGTTCAACGCACCTGAGTTCACGCCGCACTGGTGGGGCGATGCACTCCGGTGCCGTCGAATAAAGCCAAGAAGAGCTCCTCGATGTCGGACGAACGAAGGGTCGGACAGGAAGTCCTTCCGCAACCCAGAGTGCCACTCACTGGGGACGTTGCTCGGCTCACGCTGCTTGTCGTCGAGTCGTTGTGGGCCGACCTCCGTTGAAACGGACACCGTGACGCGCACAGAGCCCGCCAAGGCCACTCCAGACATGGGCGCAGGGGACCGGTGGCGAGGGAAACGCCGGCCACTGAAGTTGAAGATACTCCTCGGAGCCGGCATCAGGTGACGTCCGCAACCATGCCCGCATCAGGAAGCCTTGTTCAGCTGGGCGCCCCGGTGGGGTCCGACGACAGAAAGACGACAGCGGCCATCTTGCACCGGCCGGAAGTCGGCCTCCCGTCTGCTGCTCCTGGCCGCCGTCGGCTGCGTAAACTCCCGGCAGCGTCAGCGATGACGCACATCCAGCAGGTCCCGCCCAGCCGCTCGGCGTGTTCCTCGCCGTCGCACGTTGTGGGGGATGGCAGGGAAAAAGGGGGCGCGAGCATCTTCCTGAATGACGGAAAGGAGAGCCCACGCCAGCACCCCAGAAACATCTCTTCGCCCTCTCCAGACCTGCAGTATGGCAAGGTCCAAGGGAGAGATCATTGTTCTCGGTCGACACACTGCCACCGAGGGGAGGCAATGGTCTCCAAAAACAGGTTTTGGCCGGGTCCTCATTGTATCTGGACTCGGCTGCCTGCGTACATTAACTGGCCTACCGCAGGGTGGGAGGCTCAAGTTGAAAGGCAGGCCACGCGAGGCTACTAACAGAATTAGAGGGCACCCCGCGTACGCAAACCGAAGTCGCCGGGCACTGAGCCGGCGACTCTCCGCTGCCAGCGGTGGCTGCACCAGGGGCTGGGCCGGGGACTGCTAAAACAACTAACTCCGTAGAGTCTTAGAGATGCACGCATCCCTAGCGAAGCGCACAAAACGAGGTAGCTAAAACGCCGCCCCGTCTATAGTATGTTGTGCCATTATAACGCAAAGCCGTTACTCGCGGAAATCAGCAGAAGCTTAAAAGGTGTCGGCAAAACCAATCTATCCCGAAGAAAACCCTCACGCCAACCACAATAAAAGTAGCGTACAGTGCGCGCCCGCCGCCCACAGTATGAAAACTGCTTCCGGACGCCGGCGGATGTGTGGCCTACGGCTCCCGGAGCCCGTCGGTAGCATTAAGAGCTACTTGGCGACGTTAATTGCGGACGCACCAACCGACTCTCCCAGAAAGTCCGACAACTCAGTGTCAAAGAAACGCGCATATTTACGAACCCAGATTGTCCCGCTGACTTGTAAGCTCTTTGCTGCAAACAACATTCGTCGCTAGGCCCACGGGGGTCAATGCAACGCGATTTCCATGACAAGGCTCCGAGGACGCCGCCAGAGGCGACGACCCTCTAACTAGGTGGGGGTTGGCAGCGGAGTCAGCAACTGTCAGGCAGTGGGGTCTGTTGCTAGCGACGCCCATCACCAGAGGGGACAGGTATGATAAAGCGTCTCCTGCGGGAAGACACAAAAAGAGAATGAAGAAATCGTGACTCACTCAGGATTCCGGGCTGGCTCTTGGATGTGGCTCCCAAATCTGGGCCACGATGGGATTCGCATCATGACGGCTCACAAAGGGAGCCGGCCTCCCCAAGGGAGGCTCCGCCATCTCGGCATGGCGTGGCGGAGCAGTGCCATGACAACGATAGGTGCCGTGGCCCCGTGTTGGGCACCATTTTGTGGGAATAAAAGGAGGGCCGATCACGCACCTTTACGTCCGGGGACCGGTCCGGTGCTAAAAGGGGTAATCCGATGCCAGTCCCACCGCGCGGCCGACGGCTACCAGCGAGGGCGGTCGCCGCGCCGGGTTCGGCCAACGCCATGCCAACAACAATGATCCCGGTATCCAGCAGCGTTTATTGAGCACCAGGGGTCCCCAACAAGACACTGCAGTCAAGCGAGCCGCGGACACGGTATGCCCGCAGCGCCCGTCGACCTGAGAGCCAAAGGGGAGTCATCGCCGGTCGGGCGAGCTCACGCCGCTACCCGTCGTCGCAGGAGTTCGGGGCCAGGGCCCTCGGCAGACGGACGTCCACAGGTTGTGGGGACGCCGACTGTCAGAGCCCGGGGAATCACTAGTCTGGAGTCATTGCCGGTCGGACAAGCTCGCGCCGCGACTCAACCCGTTGCCCGGAGTCCAATCCAGGACTCCTCGACCACACGGCCGTCCACTTGGAGGGCAGGCCCGACTCTTCCTCGCGCAAAGTCGCTGTTCCCCCGAAATCGGGGAGACATGCGGAGGAGTGCGAGAGAGTAGGTCAGCATGGTGACGTAGTCTCTCCGACACGATACGGAGCGACCGGGCTCAAAGTCGGACAACTTCGCCCGGAACGGCCTCGGCTTACGCCTTCTCGGGGGAGGGAAACCAGTGGCTCCCACAACGGGGAAGACGAAGTCATCTCCTTGAACCAAAAGCATGCCATCCTCAACGAAGTGCGCATAAACGGGAAGAACGCCATCCACCGCTGGTGTCCTCCGCGCAGCAGTCGCAGCTGACGACACGGTTTGTACGTAGCTCACAGGATCTTTTCTCAATCGGAGCTTCTCGCAGTTGGCGAGAAGCGACTCTGATCTAGCAGAGAGCGCGTGCAGGCAAGCCTATACCGCTTTCTGCAGGCACGATAAACATGTGCTTGTGACGGCCCGTGTTATCTTTTTTTATTTTTTTTTGCATGTTACTTTTACGAGTCTAGATATAACGAAAAAAGCGGATATAGCGAAGTGATTTCCAATTCCCATTAACTTCGTTATAACCAGTCTCGACAGTAGTAGTAACTGGTAATTGTTTAATGTCCCCTAGGTTAGCCTAGCAGTAATGTTCTGGGGCTGTATGGGGGGGGGGGGGGGGGGGGTGTACATTCATTGCAATGGCAACACCAGAGACTTCGAGTCGACTATGCACCATATAATGCACATTAACATACACGGGGACAAGTGCTGATTGCAAAAAGCAGTTGTGAGTCGAGAAGACATGCACATATCCTCTTCTCGACCTGCAATTAGTTTGTCTCAAGCGACGTTACCAAACTACCTGCTTCTCGCTTGATTACCATGCAATGCACAATATCCACAGTAACTGATCACGGTTGCTGGCATTTCATTTAAAATGGAACAAGTCAACACGCACGTCTCAACTGGTCTCACACCTCCTCTAACTTGCAGAGGCCTCCGGCATAAAAAAGGTTTTTGCTGTATGCGATTTTAGAAGCAAGAAACGTGGCGGACGTCCCACCTGGATCCACGAGCAGAGCAGCGGGGCCAGAAGGAACAGCGCCACAGCCAGTGTGGACAGTGCAAACACCGGGCCAATCCCAGGCAGGCGCGATGCCAGGCACACAGCAGCAAAGAGGGCACCATTGAGGGACACTGTGCTCCAGGCATTGCTGCCACTGTATTGGTCGAGATGGACATATCCGTTTAGTGGCACTCCTTGCTGCTTGACCAACCGGTCGATTACTCACTCGTCAGGCGAGAGATCCTCAGTGTTATTCTGCTCTGACCTGTGGGCCATGAGAGAGGGCTGTAATTAGCAAAACATACAAGTATCTGATGACCTGCTGGAGAGCCAGAGACACTAGTAGAATGCATCGATTGTGTTGTGGGGTGCAGGGACAATAAATAGAGTCAATTAAACCCTCCCTTTAGAAAATGAGAAGAGGAATTAATCCAAACATAAAAACGAGCCACGGGATGTTGGCGAGAAAAGTGAACCACGTTTTTCGCTATGCATAAACTTTAAATTGCACGGAGTTGGAGCATTTAGGTTTAGATTAGGGTATGAATGTTTTAGACTGTGAAAAGTATGGAGCGACTTTGGGAAAGTTTTCATCAAAAAGTAGTTAGTCCAGCGACGCCTGCAGATGTGTTGGGGACGAATGGCCTTTGCTGCTTACATTTTCTTCTAGAAAACTTCCCAACGAGCTGCAATCAAGCCCTTGTGGCCATTTTTTAGAGAGAAATAAATAGAACTACATTTCGATGCCACGATTTGAGAAAATGATAAAACACTGAAAACATCCATTGCTACACATTCCTCAATTGTGGTCATAAGAAGGCATGGCGTACTTGGCATCTTCAGAGTAGTCGTGGGTGACCAGGTGAAGCAGAAGCATGCCGGCCGCCATGGCATACACGGTGTCCGTGCTGATGGTTTCTGTCAGCGTCTTCAAGATCGGGGCCAGGGAAAACCCAAAGGCAACGAAGATAGCAGCTCTCCGCAAGTCCGCAAGCACTGACCCAACACAAAAACGGGTTGTAGGGCATGACCCCGAGGAATTCGGTGGGCAGCTGAGCGACCTAATGCACTGCAGCTCTGAAACACGTTGAGAGTTCTGAATTAAAGACGAACAAGGGTTGTACTGGTGTGGATTCGTGTAACCAATGCTGCGTTACATTATTTCGCAAGTGCAGCTCCAGCACCACGCTATTCTGCTTCCCCATGGAAAATGCTCTCAGAAGCTAACTCCTTATGAAGGAACATTCTTCATTGTTAGGCGTGGGTTTGGAGAAAAGTTTTCTAGGCTCGGAAAAAGAGTCTAATGAAAGCAGTCTTCTCAAAAAATCTGCAGGGAACCGAAGGGAGCACACGAAGCATGGAACACTTACTCTTGCCTAGATGTCTCTGTTCCACAACCACATAGAGCAGGTACGCCGGGCAGCACAGCAGTACTATGCTGGCCAGCAGGGTAATGGGAGAGAGACTGCCCTCCTTGAGCCATGCGTACAGCACCACGAACAGAACCGCCCTGCATGTAGACTGCTTGAAACGTCGTTCTGCAGTAAGCACTTGCATATAAGTGGCCATGTTTGAGGGCTACACTTGGTTCAGGCCCTATTAGTATACACGGCTCGCACGTAACGTCCTTCTACGGCGCTGGTACAAAATTGCTACTTGTTGCCCGCTTCGCAATATGACTTGCATGGTACAAAATTGGGGGTTAACAGCTGAGCGTGTTGGCACACCGCAGCTCAAAGCGTGTGAAGCAAAAGATTGCTCTGCAAAGCCGAGGTATCCTGGGTTCGATCCTTACCCCTGCCCATTTCGACCTGAATGAGCATCGTACCGGTGTGTGGTCTTGTCAATGTTTTGCGTGATGCACACTAAAGACCCCAGGCTAGCTTGATAAATTTCTCGTCTACGGCCAAGACACCAGACGTCCACTAAGGCTGACTAACTTCTGGCTGTCCAAACACGCAAGAATCATTATCATTATGGTGTAAAATTTATAAAATGAAGATAATGCTTATGACAGATAAACCACCAGTGACACATGAAAATATGTTGAGGACAGTCTAATATATATGTATTCTCATCAAATTGATGCTTATTTTTCTCAACCTCACTGTGTTGTCAACCCTTGTGCTCAATTAGGTCAGAGGCGCAGTAAGACTTCGTCCAGTGAAATGCGCGCGCCGTTCGTACCTGCAGATTTGTTGAGTCACTCCTGTGGCAGCATAGAGCGCTTGGGGCACGGTGAACTGCACTGGGTTTACTGTAAATAAATATTCAAATCCAGCATATAAACAGAATAATCATCAAGGGCAAATTGGGCGTCTATTTAAGATATCAAAATTAAAAGAAAGACGGATAATCATTGTAGCGCGTCCTTCGTTTTTCCAAATGACAGCGGTTCGGTTCATCAGCTAACTGTAAAGATGCGAGACGATTTGCTGCACAAAGTTTTGTTCCCTGACAAAACACTTACCGTTTTTGCGAAGCTGACACAAGAACGATTGATCGACGTAATTGTCTGGCACATTCTGGTCCTCGTACAGCACCTTTCGCCAGGTTTGCTTAGGAGTTGGTAAAGACTCGTCCGCAGGCTCGTCCATGGTAGGAAACGACAGCTTCTAACACCACCGGTCAACGAACGCATAACATCGCGCCACGCGTTAATGATATGATATGTTATAATCTTGGAGTTATAACCGTTACCACTTTGCTTTCACGATGGTTTCGTGGTTCTTCTTTTGGCTGTTGCCGCCGCCGAGCCGTCACACCCAGGCGCACACCATGTTTTCGCTAATTTTCGCTTTCAGCTGTGGATACGCTGTGGCCATCGGCTGTGACTGCGCTAATGGATTGTGTTGGCTATCTTTTAATCTAAACGATCTAAAGTTATTTTTTTCTGCAATGTTCTTGAGTTAAAAAATAAAATAGAATGTGAAGAATATTGAATAGACTTTAAATATAATTTTAAACAAATAACTATTTATTATCTTTTAGAAATATTAATTTTAGTCACATCAAGCCAATCAGTAGCCAAGACAAGCATTCTTCCCGCCACGCCGGCGGTGGTTTGAGTTATTCCTCGCGTGTTAACCGCAACAAAGCATGGTACGGATAATGGAAATCGCGTGTGTATTATGTGTGCATGTCTGCGCATAACGGGATGGGATAGATTTAGCAAAAATCGTGAAGTTATTTGGTCATCCGGTGTTTCGTTTGCCATTTTCAACGCGGTGGTGTTGACCGAACCGGCGTGCAAACCGAGACGCACAACCGCAAGGAATCCAAACCACGGGAGGCACTCACTTGATCGAATGACGTTTTAGCGAACGCCCACGTTTCATCGAACGACACTTTAGCGAATAGTCGGACGCCGCGAAGCGGCGTTTTCGGGTGGGCCAAGTGAGTTCATATTTTTGTAATGAGTTGCCGTAGACTGTCGCCGCGAAGCGGCGTAAAGCGCAGCGCGACGGATGGGTTAACGCGCGCCCCCGTTATTCGCTAAAACGACCATTCGCTCAAATGTCGCCGTTCGCTAAAATGTCATTCGCTCTTGTGATATGGACCCCCAAACCACAGTGCCAGAACAGATTTCAGTTTTGTAAGATTCAAACGTCTTCCAGTTCCCGGTGACCAGAGGAGCGTCTGACATTACTAGCCGAATCTTATTGTTCCAGCTTCCATAGCAATCTGCTTTACTTTGCTATGTGTAGTTCCTTGTAATTCCTCAAAACGGTCGATTTGTGAAAGGTTATCGGGACGTTTGCGTAACTTCAGCTAGTGTAACTTGATTTTGGAGCATTGCAAACGTCAGACTCGTAATCAAAGAATCTTATGCAAACATTACAAATATTGCACTAATAGTCAGTAAGTCTAGTAAAAATTGAGTGATCAGTAAGTCAGTTAAGACAATGGTGGATGTCATCTTTCGTGTGCTTGTCCACCAAGATTCAAATGCTTGTGACACTGAACTGCTTTACAATGGCGGTCACAGGTTGCAACAAGATCTCAGCGGAAGTCTGGGAGGGTGAGTCCAACCGATCCACCCATCAAACGTCAAAGCCCTGAGAAACCCTTGAGTGCCACAAAAATCCGTAAGGTGCGAGACAGTCCCAAGGTACGGCAGAGTCCCATGGTACGAGACAGTCCCAAGGTACGAGACAGTCCCAAGGTACGAGACAGTCCCAAGGTACGGCAGAGTCCCATGGTACGAGACAGTCCCAAGGTACGGCAGAGTCCCATGGTACGAGACAGTCCCAAGGTACGAGACAGTCGCAAGGTACGAGACAGTCCCAAGGTACGAGACAGTCCCAAGATACGAGACAGTCTCAAGGTACGAGACAGTCCCAAGCCGGAACAAAGCCAGAGCCCTGCTCAGGAATCGAAGGGGGACATGCTGGCTGATACCGGCAAGCTTCCTGACGACATTGTTAGTCAAATCGCAACACTCCCAGAACCATCCTTAGACATACACTCCGGCCGACAGAAAAAACAACCCATTAGCAAAGCTCCCGCCGCACAGAGTTCAACTGGGAAACAGCGAGGAAGTGTCCTCCGTGGGTAAGCACCTCTCTGAAAGGTTTCTCTGTGGAAGGAGTAGGAGACAGCGATGCTGTAGAATACCATATTGCTATGAAAGATTGCACCAAGTCTCTCCGACTTGAAATTGGTGGAATTTCAAGTGTTTTGACGGCTTTGACTTTGTACCCTGTAATATTGGAGTCATCTGAGTAGCAGGCAAAATGTTCCAATGATCACCCGAGGTAACTGCAGTGGAAATGTTTTGCTGCCATGTTTCTCTGGCTTTCCACCTTGGTGGTTTTGTGTCGAAGTACTGGTCTATGAATCCCCAGGTGGCAGGTTCGAATCCTGGCAAAAACACTTGCGATCTGATGGCATCTAATTGTAGCTGCACGTCAAAAGATCCCCAGGTGGACTAAATTAGACCTCGGTCTTTTTGCTGAGGTTTGCCAAGTGCCCTTTGTTGGCTTGGTACTATAGTTTAATTTTGTTTTGGTTTCGTGATTTAGATGTCTCCATTACTTTCCATGCTACTAGTATTTTTATTTTTTTATTTTTAATGCAATTAAATGCAAAGTTCAATCGAGCTGGGCAAGAATGACGAAAATAATCCCTGGAGAAGGGGAGCAAGAGGGACAAAGGACAAACACAAATGTCCGAACATGGCTAGGTGACTGGTGCGCGACCAAAAAAATCTGCCTGGTCCGGGTATCGAACCCGGGACCTCTCCATTTCCAGTGGAGCGCTCTACTAACTGAGCTAACCAGGGGTTGGACGTCAGTAGAGCAAACAGGTTTTATCTTTTAATTAATGCACGGTGCCTAAGTTAATGAATCTACTAACCAGTCGAGGTTTGTGTCAGAAAACCCAACAGAGGTGCCATAGTGTCAGTATTGATGCCTGTGATTGTGATTGTTGTATAAGATGTGTTGGTTAGCCAGTGATGCCGGTGCTGACTGGACCTTTTTTTTTGCCAACTTGTTTGTGTGGCTTTGCAGTCGCATCCAGTTACAAGCAGTAGAGCTGAGCAGACGGGCTCCTGTGCCAGACAAAGCGAAGGCATTCAAGCACGATGCCCTCTTTGGGTCACACACCCGGAGGACCACAGGTAAATCGTGCCCCTCGGGGCAAAAGTTTGTCCATACTCGCGCTGTGTACCTTTTCCTGGAAACTATTAGGGATCATGCGACTCCTCGGTACTTGGAAAGATTGTTAGCCAGGCAGTTTCTGTTCAAGTCATAGAATACAGCCTACATTACCTCTTTTTGGTGCCTATTAGGCTACTTCGCTTCTTTGTTGAACATCGGTATAGAACCTGAACTTTCGGCAAGGCAAACAGTCCTATTAGTTTCCTCCTCTCCTTCAACCTGCTAGAGTAGCATGGGAGAGAAATAAGGGGCAAAGAGAGGAGGATGTGGCATCATGTGCTCTCCATTTGGAGGGAATGGGATCAAACTCTTCAGTGAGATGTGCAACAAGATACTGGCACGTCTGCTATTGGCGGGGTGCAGCATTAATTTATTTAAGACCTGAAACAGTCAAGAGGCTATTGAGGCTTTTTTTATGGTGGATCAAATCGCCAAGAGGATATAATGTTCACAGGCATGCATAGGAGATAGCTGACACATCTCAAGGAACTCGGGCAACCAAACTACACTTGGGTCCTCAAAAAGGCTCCTGCAAGGCGGGCTTGCCGAACGAGGGAAGCTGCCGAAACAACTGTCTGCATTCAGGGCATTATTTTATCTGCTGTATGTTAAATACAGAGAAGCTAGTCATTTTTACAACAGGCACAGTTAGGCTGATTAATTGGTGAGAATGTTGCACCGAGCAGTCGAATAATATTTATTTTCTTTGTATCATTTAAGTTCTTTAGCTTGGCTGGTTCGAAAATCTGAAATTCATCCAATCTGTGGATAAAAACGATGAAAGAGTATGGAACTTGTCCAATTCATTATTAAGACAAATTAGGAGGTATGATGTAATGATTCCAATGCTCTTTGTTGTTGCTGCTGCCTGATAAGGTAATTTGGCTCAGTGAATCAGGCTCATCATCTCTTTTTACTTTGCACATGCCTGATTGGCCTTAAAGCCCATAAAACTTGGGGTGTGTGAAAGGTGGTTCAAATAGAATAGCACTATGTCATTCATATCCTTCACAGTGCTACAAAAACCCATGACATACCGGTTCTCTTTGTAGCGTGGAAGCTAGGGATGACGTTGTGCCATTCGATTTGAGACAGTATTTGCACACACCTACTTCAAATGCAAGCTTGACACAAGAAAACAACCTGTCCTTTTGGCAGCAGAGCATGCTGTCTGTTTCTTGGCAGCCACCAGCTTGTAAAGGCATGTTTACACTCTTGCAACCGAGTACGACCGAGAGAAACGAGGGCTGTTGAAACCTCTTAAAATTTCTTAGGACGAGAGAACACACTGGCACTCTGGCGCCATCTATGCGGTGACCCTGGAACTGCATTTCACAAGAGCGAAGGTTTTGTGGGATTTCCAAGGTCAAATGTGCGTAATACCTGTGAGAAAAGCTCTTTCATAACGTTGACAAAAGTGTTTCGAGCCAAGAAGGAAAGAATAAGGCGCAAGAGAAATAGAAAATATGCCGGACCGCCAAGTTTACACTGCTACTGTAGAAATTCATGTACCGCCGCCAATACGCCAGATCCCACATGGTCCGTCAACAACTTGAGTCTAGCCTGGTTCTTTCACGGGAGCGGGACTCCGCTCCCCGTTCATTGGTACAATAAAACAATGCTACAAAACACTCAATCTAAACTACAAATACACGCGACATTACACAAATATTTACAAACACACGCTAAGCCCAAAGCTAAACACAAAGAGGGCCCCCAGGCCTCGTGTCCCGCAACTACCCTAGATCAGGTTGCCCTACACTTGCCTGGGCTCGGTAGCGTCCGAAGTTCTAAGAGGCTCTTCGCCCCCTGTACTGAGTATATATCAATCGATGGGCAAGGAGGTTTCTCCTCGCCCGCCACGGGGCGTCTGCAGCGCCATCCAGTGGCTAGGAGAGAAACCGGCATGTCGGGAGCCGAATTTGCAATCCCGATCGACCCCACGGCGACACGACCATGTGATCGTGTCTGAGGCGAGGCAGCTGCATAGCTGCCTCGCGGCCAAGATGGCACAGTGGTTTGATGGGCACCCTCGCGAATGCACGGTGCGCCATACTACCCAATAGATGGCACCAGTGTGTCCTCTCGTTGTAAGAGATATTAAGAGGTTCCAAGGCACCAGGATCTAAGAGGTCGCAAGTGTGTGAACGGACCTTAAGCCGCCAAAAATGTTACTGGTTGTTGCAGCACTGGGACTTTTGTGGTGGAATTGTGGCTTCTGGAAACTTTGTTGCCGGACAATGTAATATCAACATGCAACTGTTCTCTGCTGAAGTTGGTGGCAGGAAGCAGATACTTGCTAATGCTACTTTCACTAATCCTCACTAGTGACAATAGTGATGCCACCAAACAATATGTGTGTGACTTTGACTGCAACTTCTTTGCTGCAAAAATGCCAAAAACATATAGAAGCTTATACAATGTAAAGTAGCATGCTTTATTTTTTAGAAAACTTGCATCTTTAGGGGGCTCGTTCGTGACAATACCAAAGAATTAAAGACCACAGGTTTTTGTGGTATTGAAATATTCATATCTGTACCACTTTGAGTAAGTGTGCCGTGAGAGGCTTGTTAGTGCCTGCTATGACCAAATGATGATGATGACATATTGAAAGGAAAATGAAGAAAATTAATTTTTCATGGTGCATAAGTCGTAGTACAAATAAAATCAAATATAAGTACTGGTATATAGCAGTACTGTACACTATCCTATATTATTCAGTAGGCCTATGCCACTCATGCAGTATGAATGTAGTGGAATGAAAGAGAAAAACTACAGTGTTTATGGCTTAATAAGATAAAGATAAGGTTGAGAAATTACTCATGGACGTTTGTAATGTGCAGTACGTTCTCTGTTTCTCCTTCCTGCAGGTTTTTGTATATTTTGTGCATGTAATGAGAGCTGGAAAAACTTGCTGTCAAAAATCAATGTCACATTACCATCTGCTCTCAGAGCGTGCTGCTGTAAACCCTAGCAATAAAATAAAGAAACTCTTCTTGATATTGTTTTAGGTACATGTATAGCTAGATGTGACAATAGCAGCTGACCTGGCAGGAAGTTTTAGGCAGCTGTGTGTGCTATCAGATGGTTTCAGCCTCTACACTCGTGTTAAAGCGAGGTTTCCGTTCCAGTGGAGGGGGCTACAGAACAGTGTTAATGAGGCACTCCTTGGACAGATGTAGTTCCCAGCCCTGGTCCTGTAGTTGGTGTGGTAGAGACGCGTATTAGACTTCGCAGCTTCCCAGTATCTTCCCTAACTCCTACTCATCTGAAAAGGTGGATGTTAGAGAAGTGTCTATGCTTAGCCGCTATTCTTTTTGTGTTTTGCATACCGGAATTTCTCCTCTTCAAATCGGTCGGGAAAGAGCTAAGCATCTTTGCTTCTAAGTTCATTTGTTGACGCTTGGCCTAGGTACCCGGGTCCCCCTTGAATCTTGTAGAAGCTAGTTTCTTAAAAAAAAAAAACCTATAACAAATTTTAAAAACAATAATTTTTTTTTTTTTTAATAGTATTTTTTGTTTTGAGTTTTGTTGTTTCCAAGACCCTCTACTCTTTTCCTGAACGATTTGTACTGACAGTTCTCATATGTGCCTATCACATAATGCATGGTGTCTCTTACTCCTCTGAAATAAGTTTGCTAGTGCCTAAACACTGAGGCACTCTTTATTAGTGAAAAGACGGTGAGAGTGCAGGCGAGCTGGTGGTAGCTAATCATGTCGTATTACACCTGAGACTGCGGTGGAAGAAATTGGAAGAACTTTCAGTAGAAGGAACAGACACAGAGAACGTCTCAAGCATTTTCCGATTTCTTCCACCGCAGTCTCAGGTGTAATACGACATGATTGACTCTTTATTAGTAGGGCACTTATCTAGAAGTTGACTCTTTTTTCCAGCTACTTCATTGTTGGGCCAACAGCGGAAGAGAGCAGTCAAGAAAACTTAGCAACAGGCTTTTCTTACGAAAATCAGGGCGTCCTGCCATCATTGAGTGTATGAAAGCAGGGAAACAATAAATGGCTTCTGAATTAAATGTCTTTGCCCTTTTCCCCACCTGAGCTTATCAAAGCTCATCGGTCTAGTTTGACAAACCATGCCCGAAAGAATAGAAGAGAAAAGGGGGCATGCCTTGTTCCCCTCCTCCTGCTCTTTTTCTTTCTGATTACTGTCTCTACCTCGTTTTCTCTTTGTTTTGATTTGCGCTTTGACTCAACAGTTTTCTCCCTCTCCTAAGCAAGCTCTGGCGGCATGTTTCCAAGGATCGTCCTTTCCTTCACTTCGTGTGTTTGTTCCTTTGTGCGCGTTCTTTTGTACAGTGTCGAACAAATGTTGTATACCGCCATGTCAGGATTCCATGAAAGGGGGGTGCAACGATTTCCGGACTTCGTTTAAAGATTTCTGGAAGTTGCCCTCTGACACTTCTGAAGTAAAGAACAGAAAACGGATTTCGCCTTCGTGTTCTAGTTGAGTAAAAAAAAGATATTGGCATTTCGGGCACCCCTCAACTCACTCCCAGCCTTCAGGGTCACACCTGGTCCCCCTCCTAGTGACGTCATTCGGAGTGCCGTGTAGGTTCCCCTGTGCTATCTCGGAGGACGCTCCCTCTCTCTCTCCACTGACATTAGCGGGCGTTATGCCGCAGCTTAGAGCCGAGCGAGGTCACGTAATCTTTTCGCCGTAGTTCCTTCGGCTGCCACTGGGGGCTGCAGGTGGGGGAAAAAGCTTGACTTTTGCTTTGCGATTATGCAGCGGAATTGCGACATTTTTTAACGAAGGAGGTGTTTTCTCTATCCTTTGGGACACGATAAACAATGTAAAAATTACGAGATGCAAATGCTTTTAATCATAAAGTCGTTGCACCGCCCCTTTAAAATGTGACTGTATCCACAAGGCCTAAGGTTGCGGAGGGCATGGTTACGCATTATAACGCGCAGAAGCACACACACGCACACAAAAAAAAAAGATATATATATATATATATATATATACAGAATGTTTTTTTAAGCTTAACAGATTTGTTTAAAAAAAGCCGTGAAAGTTACACTTATGCCGCTTGTGGAGGTGAGTTATACGGCCAGGAGGACATATTATGCGGGGCTGATCATAACGATCAGTCGACTAATTAACTAAAATTCGTTAATTAACTTTTTAATTAATGAAAATAGACATATGGTTCTAATTAGAAACTTGCTCAGCGTCATCGAAAACCACTAAATCAGTAATTTTCAGAAAGACTTTGAGCGCGTGAGAAGCGTATATCTCATTTGGCATCTTTGGGTGAGACTGACTACCCTTATTTATCCGTTTTTTTTGTTTCTTGTCCTGAACCTCCCGACTGCTCCTCGGCATCCGTGAAGCGGACCACCTGGTTTTGGTTAGAGTTGTAACTTGACTGTTCCCACGGACGCCTTTGCTGACGCACATCATTTGGTGTTGTACGCTGCATTACAGCGTTATGTAGAAGATTTCTATCTAAGGCATGGCTGGAGTTTGGTGTCATGGGCGCGACAGCTCGAGGTGGAAAACCTCTGTCGATGGGGTTGCTGGAGATGTTGATGTCTTGCAAGCTCTGAAGCAAGTCTTCGACGGATTTGAAATTTCGAGCTTGTACTTGTTTTTGAATTTCACGTGGAAGTCCATGAAGTGTCAATGATATTATTGCCGACTCTGGCAGGTGAGATTCGGCAAGTTGAAAGAGCTGTCTCTTCTCAAAAAAATATTCGAGGATCAGACCTGTCTTATACTTGTAGAAGATAGCTTGATCCCATCTATACGGGATTCCTCTTGAAACTGGTGAGCAAACTTGTCTTCCAATCATTCCAGTTTGCTTCCAGGTAGTCCACTAGGCGAAGGTCAAACCACTTCTTTGCGACGCCCGTCAATAAAAGGCGTATGTTCTTGATGCGGTCCTGCTCTGAGTTGAAGAAGTTCTTTTCTAAAGCATACTCATAAAAGTCCATCCATCCTTCCGGAATCGATAAATATCCGTCAAACATGTCTGGCTTCACTCTTTCAAATCTAGGTTTCTCCTTTTGTTTCATAGAGGATACGATGCCCTGCGTCAGCTCATTTTGCTGGGTTATTTGCTGTTGCTGTAGCTGCAGGGCTTGTAGCATCATTGCCGTGATCGAGGTAGATACCGAAGTCTTTTCCGATAATCTCCGACATGGCTGTAGTACCATTTCTTCGAAAACTGACACTTGCAGGTTTACCTTGACGGATCTGGAGCTGAGAAGTTCCGTGGTTGACTTCTTTGTCCTCTGTGTGACCAGCTCAACCAATTCTGGTGTACTGATATGTCGAGGAAGATTGATTGATTGGTTTCAGTTTTATGGCGCGAGAGCTACCGGGGCCGAAATGCGCCAAGTGCATAAACAATTGCAGAAACAAGGGTTGAAGAAACAGAGCTATACACCAACTCAACTCTCCTACGTCACGCCGCGGTGGTGGCGCGCCGGACGCACTTCCGGTCTGGGGCGGTGGGCAGAAGTCGCCGTGCCAGACATGCATTCCTGTGTTCCTTTGGAAGAAACGAGACAAAAAACCTGCCTTCTCGTCAAAATGCTGCGATGGGGGCTTTACCAAGACAGTCTGGAAAGGTTTGAAGATCAGTTTTCATGTGTTTTTGCACCCTCCGTTCGTCCGAGAACGTGGAGAGTAGCCGTGAAAAGGGCAAACCAGACGCTGTCGAACTACGATTGCGTGTGCGGGCCACAATTTGTGGTCGCCAGATGTATTTGCTTTGTTCTAACATGAACGAGAGAAAACCCCCAAGTTGTCCGGACCACCCTCGGGTTCAGTGCGTCCTCAAATTCACACGGCCGCCTGATCGTTCGAACTTTCGTCTGCTCTTTCAAAGTTGTCTGCTTTTTGTCGTCTGCTCGTTCAAACAAAAGCGGCCCGTAGACCAAACTTTGACCCGGTGATTGCAATAAGAAGTAATTGCAGGCCTCAAAAGGCTTAAGTAGGCTCGGTGTAAACAGTAGATACAAGATGTTAATTATTGGTACCGGTGGCCATCACCTACTTGTTACGCTTGGTCTGTTCCCGCTTCCGATTTTCAGTATCGACGTCGATCACCGCCGCTACCTTTTACACTTTTGCAGCACGAGCGACGTCGCGACCGAAAATAGCTACAAGAATCTCTTCATGGTTTTGGCGTCCATTTCTACAGCGTTCATGCGAATGAATCGCCGCACGTCAAATTATTTACGGAAAGTTTAGCGGCGTAACGAGCCTTGATAATTTCGCTCAGGCGATTCAAGTGGTAAGACATTGCGATGAGGACGTAGAATTGACAACGCCAACGCGAAAAAGAGTATGCAGACTTACACAGACGCCTACAACGTGACATTCGAATGGTTTGTTGACGCGGGACGCGGTGCTTCTTGCCCGTACTCCATTGCGCGTGCGTTCGAACTGTCGTCTGCTCTTTCAAACTTGGCTGCTTTTTGTCGTCAGCTCGTTCAAACGACAGCGGCCCGTAAACCAAACGTTGACCCGGTAATTGCGATAAGAACTAAGTGCAGGCCTCAAAACACATTTGAAGGTTGGTTGGGGTAAGTCGGCTAAGTGTAAACAGATACAAGAAGTTGTTGATCATTGTTACCAGTGGCCATCACCGACTTGTAATGCCCGATTCTACTTCCAGTTTTCAGTATCGATGTCCGCCATCTCAGCTACGGTCCACGCTTTTGCAGTCCGAGCGACATCGCGACTGAAAATAGCGAGCAGAATCTCATCGTGGGAGTCAGGCTTTAGCGCCCATTCTGTGGCGTCCACGTGAAATGAATCGCCGCACGTCACATTATTTCCGCAAAGTTTCGCCTCGTTAGTTTTTGCTGAAGCCGCTCAAGTAGTCAGACATTGTTAGGAGGACGTAGAATCAACAATTCCAACCCGGAAAAGAGCACGGGGACTCCCACCGACGCCGACAACAACGCGATTGAATGGTTTGTTTATGGGCGACGGCGGGCTCCTTGCCCACCATCCACCGCGCATGCGCGGCGCCGGTGGCGTCCGCTAGGGGCGCTCCGGTTTGTTTGTAAACATGAGTTGGTGTATAGTAGCTGATGATCTAATAAGACCATGGACATGAGTCGTGTATCACATAAACATGAGTTCTGGGTATAAAAAATTACGATGTCTATGAATTTTAAGATTACTCACTGACCATAATCTACAACATTTTAAAATATCTACAATGGGAGTGATATATTTTATGAATAAAAGCTACAACCGGTGTATCTAGCCAGTTACTTTAAGAAATTCTAAAACGCGCCGAAAAGGGACTAGAGGTTGATTAACGAAAAGGAAGGCAGGGTGAAACGGGAGATGATATTTAAAAAGTCCTGGGAAACATGCCCGTCGCTGTTCATGTAGGTGCCTGTAATTCCACAAGATGTGTAATACAGTCACTACTTTGCCGCAGTGCTCACTCTGTGGAGCATCTTCACCACAAAGCAAATGCAGATGTGTCCAGCGCGAGTGGCCACTCTTTATCAAGTATAATATTCTTAAGGCAAATCAAATTTATTATTTCAAACTGTTGCAATTGGTACATAGAAATAAACTCCACTCGACGCCCATTACCAGTTCTAATCCATACTTATTACGAAACCCAATTTGAAAAACACCATACGTGAGAACAAACTATGGTCGACAAGCATCACATTTTCAGATCACTAAAATGCTTAATAGAACAGATATCAACATAAACTTTGACCAACCGTTTGGTAGTTTCAAACATTTTTGCAGAAAAATTCTAGTGGCAAGTGACGTAGCATTTTCTTTGGTATAATTTGTTTTTCTGGGTGTAACGTTGTGCACTTTTTTTTTCTGCAGTTCAAATTTGCATTGCAGTATCTGTTTGACCCCTTTTGAATATTGTGTTATTTGCCCATCAACAGAGTGTGCTGATGTTTTTGTTTTTATCTTTAAAGAATTGTTTGACCTGTTTTTGTGAACGCTTCATTTCGTGTTTATTAATGATATCATCCATTATGTTATCTGTGCAAAGCGTTGTTTTGTCTC